AGCCTTTCCATTATAAGGGCGTAGATGATCTGTTATTATAGGCATTCATGCCTTCTGATTAGTGGAATCTAAATGATATCTTGCAATAATCTTATTAATATATACCTATTAGCTAAGCCATAGCTTCTGTTTTGTTCAATCTCTACTAATCTTGATATTTAGGAAGCTCTCTCCCTTACCTAGATCATGGAATTCATATCATTCTTATAGTTTTTAAATCAGATTGTCAGCATGCTTCTTACTTTTAAGATGGTAAAGAAATAGTATATCATTTATAAACACTAAGATAACAGTCTTATCATCTATATAAAGGCATGAGTCTATATTAATTCTTTACAAACCTATCTCATCAAGGGCTTTTGAAATATCTCTCTGCCAGAGGCACAGTGCCCTTTATAAGCCATAGAGGGCTTATTTTAACTAGTAAATATAACCATATTTAGAGAATCCTTCTACTATGTAGGTATAGACCTCCTTATCTAGTTTACTATTAACAAACGTGTTGATGGCATTAATTTACTATATATCAAGATTAAATACTACTGTAATAGTCATTAATGTCTGAAATATTTATGTAGTAAGAGTAGTAGCTATAGTATTATTATATATCATCTACTATATATCTCCTTATATACAGATTTATACCTTAGCCTTGATTAAGTAGCCTTCTTGATCAAATTTGTATATGAAAACCTATTATAGCAGAATGATCTGCTTATCTCTAGGCTATTTAACCTTCTAAAAAGTTCCTTAAGCTAATAATGTATTATGTTCTAACTCTACAGCTACTTTAAAGAGTTCCTTTAGCAGATGCTTTTGCATTTCCTTCTAGCCATTAGGTGTAGGCGGTATTTCATCTTAATGAAGTCATTTCTTTATAGATACCTTATCTTATAGGCCTATTCTAAATGATGTAAATACTAAGTGGAATTACTTTAAGCTATCTATTTAAGTACTAGTATAGATGTTTCATAGGGCTTAACACTGTTATTTTCCTTTAATGATATTATCTACTGAAAAATTAGCACTAATGCTGTGCTTTAGCTTTATTAGGAAATTATTAATATTATCTAGACTATTTAGCTTAATACTTAATTAATTAACTTCCTTAAATAGCTATCTTGAAGGTGAATCTTCTGGTAAGATATGATTTCTTCCTGTATCTGCTTCTAATTAAACTGGGGACTTAGGAAGTGTATTTATAAGCCTCACAGGCATCTCAGGCTCTAGGGAATCATTGATTCTCATAGGAGATCTTGGAGTCATCAAATCAAGGTAAATATACTGTTCTCTCTGTAGGCTATCAATCCAGCCTCTAGGAATGCCATATTAGCCCATTCTTAATGCATCATTCTGCTTAATAGATTTAATAGGTTCATCATGTTGGATAGATCTTCCTGGTATAGTAAGAGGGGTTGGAGGTACAAGGTTTGCTTCTAGTAATTCTAGCATCTGACTACCTGCCTTATTAGGTATAGTTCCTTTACTTATTATATTAATTACTTCATTCACCCCCTAAGCTTTAACCTTATCTAACTTATCATTATTACTTAATTCTTCCTTCCTAATCTATATATCTTTATTTATTGTGTTGATTTTAATTAGTGGCACTGGCATATCTAATATCTTGATTGCTTCTGCGTGGAATGGCCTGTCTGGATTAAATATAATATCTTTATTAAATATAATATCTCTTTTATTAGTTATCTTCCTTGTTAGTAGATTCCATATCTTCTATATATTAGACACAGTGTATTTAATAAGATAGCCTATCCAGGCCCATGGATCTAGCTTCTTTATTCTTAGAATCTTGTATTGCCTGACATACATTCTGCATCTATATATATATAGATTTGCTAAAGATAGCTTCTTGCTATAAAGCTTCTCATATAGTATGATCTAGATCTATTTCTTCTGTCCATTCTCCTCTACTGCCTCTCTTTGCAGCCATTAATTATGCAGGTAGACAGCAGCACAGAGAATATATAGCTATAGCTTCTTAGGTAATCTTACAGCTATTCTCATGCTTTAGGCTATTTCAATTATTAATCTTCCAGCGCATTTGACTAGGCCCTTCTGCTTATTAATATATTATGTTGAATGAATGATCTTAATGCCTTTATCTTTTATAGTGCATATATATTTATTTCTAAGTATTAGTTCACAGTCTGAGAATATCCTCTTTAGCTTGATATTAAATTACATCTTAACCTATTTAATAAACTGCTGTATTTGGCTATTAAGCTAATCTTTATCTGGATGCATGTAGATGACATGCCATCCAGTTAATTCATAGATGAAATGTGTGGCCTAACAATCACTATTATAGGTAATAGTCATCAGAATCAGATTGAAATGAATGCTTTTAAACAGCTTGGTTAATCTCTCTCTAGGCATTCAAGATATTTACTTATAGGCCTTCACTAGCCTGCACGTCTCGCAGATTGATCTCTTACAATTCAATACTTTTACACCAATAGATGCCTCCTCCAGATGCTGTATAGCTTCATCTCCTAAATGTGCTAGCTGTTTATGCCATTATTTGCTAGTTTTAGTAGATTCATATAGCTGTTCCAAATATTAATTTATTGCAAAGATATTTAATATTAGATTATATTCCACCACTTCTAGATTGCATCTTATTTCTATGCGGCAAATCGGCTTCCCATGCTGATCTTCTATAGTGTTAGTGTGTTGATTAAGATAAAATCCATGCTTCTTTATATAAAAGGTTAAAAGCAAATTTATATAGTACTTAGGTATATAGGCTACTCTACTTAGTTCTAGGATATATAGCATTCCATTTATTCTAATTACTTTTAGTTTGACCCTCCTATATCCAAGGATTTGCATATTTGTTGCACTAAAATGTGTATACTCATCTTCTACTGGTTCATAGGTGAGGAATTGAGTTTAACTATTATAGATATTAATATCTGCTCCTGAATTAACAATCTAACTATCTTATAGCTTATATGCATTGCTTCCTAGCAAGAATACTATAGAATTACTTTAAATAATACTTATTACCATGTAAGATATTCCCTGCTTCTAATTTACTTACTTAATTGCTTATTCCATAGCATATCACACTCTTAGTTTTGTCTGCTTAAGCCACTTAAATTATTCTATGATCTCTGCATTTAGCTTCCATCCATTCAGCCTTAATAATTTAATTAAATATGGGCACTTATTAAATATATGCTTTTCTCCATAGGTATAGTCTTCTAGGCCTTACTTAGGCTGTTCATTTGGCTGTTTATTTCCATAATTCTGATTAGCTAAATTAGAATTCTATTAATTAGAGGATTATCCCTTGAAGGTGGCAAACATGCTCTTCTATTCTCTTTAACTAAGGGATTACTATTATTTATAGAAATGGTAGATCTTATTAAATACATCTAATAACTTATCCTTCATTAATTTATTTAATCTTATCTGGGTATACAATCAATCTAGGCCCCTTAGTGCTGTAAGGAAGGACCTGGTTGCATCTTCCCTAGTAAAGCTCTTTAATCTAAGTTAATTATATTTACTTATCACATCTTCCTATTCGCCTAGCCACATCTCGACATTCTGATTGGCTAGCTTTAATAGGAGTTGGTTATATCTTGCCATGACATGTAATATCTAATCTTCCTTCTTTAGCTCCAGCTTGGCCTTCAGCTTTAAATATCTTTAATGACATAATCTGATTTATTAGTGAGCTACCTGAGATGCTTCTACGCGACTGTTTACTCTATTTCTTACTAAATAGCTACTAGGCCTTGCTCTGCTTCCTTCCATTCCTTATAATATCTCTTCTAACTGTTGACTTAATAATTATATAAGGTTTTTGATTCAAGATCTATTGCAGCTCTCTGATTGGTTGATTCCAAATCATCTGGATGAATTAGCTTTAATAGGCGCGGCATTTCTCTAAGCAAGATCTCTTTCACTCTATAGCTCATTACTATACCTTTTATATGAGAGTCCCAGTTCCACCAATCATCAGGCAAATCTAGCACGATGGGGACCTTCCTGATGGATCTTATTAGCTTAGCATAATACTCCATGTTGGCTTCAAGATAGGGTGACGGCGGTGTTAATATAACTTCAATTCTTCCGAATCAGGCAATTCTAATGAGATATCTCGCTAATACTATAAGATAGAGCTCTCCAATATGCAGGCCTGGAAGAATGATCCAAACAAATCAATCTGTGCGTCTCTTAAGGGCAATCCGGGCTCATAACTGTTAAAATCACTAAAATATGTAAACTTTCCAAATCACTAGTAAACTATATGGCCAATTGAAAATCAATGAAGGTCTGATTCTTCTAAACGAATGACTATCTATCTCCTATATATGCCTTCGATAGGGGTCGGATTGCAGGTCTTCTAATGATCGAATGCTATCGAATATTCGGCCAAGAGTGGCAGTGCTTCGCCAATTCATATGCTTCCAAATCGGGCAAGCGGTAACATAATTCAATACTTCATCTACCATCAACCTACTGATGGCCTCCGCAACAAACACCACCGCAATCCACGCCAGATTCAGACATGGACGGTGTTAGGACAATCCAGAGCCATCCTCAGGGAATCTATACAATCTAACAGAGATCGTTGTCAAACTAGCAGCTCAACCAGCTGCTAGTACTACCTTAAAGAAGGCACAACTCCGCTCATATGTAGCCATGGGATGCAGTCTCCCCAGAGAAAGGGTGTGAACAACACTCTGCTCATTATTCTTCTGAGCCAGAAGAGCAGCGACATTGGCATCTGTAACCATAGGAATCAGCAGTAGCAGGGTTGTTCTGCATATCCCCCTATCCAATATGCAATATACCCCATAATCAAGCATGGCTGGTTCAGGCTCAACCTCAGAGTAACTAAGCTCTATATATAAATCAAATGGCACAGTCACTCCATTTCCCTTCTTTCTCAAGAACCAGACACTTATGTATTGAGCTGACCTAGCTTATTCGCTCCTTTTCGCTCCCTTTTGTCAGTGAGCAAGATGTGGATCTCTCTTTCTGCCACTCTTTCCTGGGTATATATCCTTTCCTATTTTGTCCTCATCCTATCCAGTTCCCACGCCCACTGGGACCATGCTGCCCATCATCAAGCGTTTATCTCCCCTCGGGGAGAGGCGGCTGTTTTGCCCCAAATGTGGCGGCGCACAACGCGACCTCAAGCCAGATTGCAACCGCCCATCAGATAGTCAGAGAGGCCGTTGCGGAAATGACCAAGCGGAATCAAGCCCGTCTTGCCCACCCGTCACGTAACAACTACTCTATGAAGCCAGGGACAAAGCTAGGTAAGCATGACAACATGGCTGCACCGCCGCCTCTACTCAATATCACCAACCAGATTGCCCGCGCGGCAGCGCTAGTAGCCAAGCTCAAAGCAGGTGGCTTAGCTGGTAGAAACTACACCAAGTTATACCAGAGGGCGGGAACATTCTGGATGGAGGGGATTGAGCAAAAGGGTGCCATCCTGTAGGGAGATAATCCTAACTATAAGGTGTCTACTCTCCAGCAGCTAATCCCCTCAACAGCTTCGATCCCAAAGACTACGCTGACATGATGCAACTTGTAGGTCTTTTAACATATTATTAACAACTATAGGGCTGATCCCACAGGTCAAAGAGTTAGTACACCTAACAGAAGCACAGTATAGATGATGGGACTAAATAATGGTAGGATTCTACAGCAGCAATCCAAAGGGCCATCGATGACGGCAAGCAATGTGGCGCCGCTTGCAATGGGGCCACTACCAAAAATGCCATTATATATTTCCCCCCAGAACATACCTTATGTCTAGCTTGATTAGCATTTACTTCAGCACTCAGATCATTAGTGATGCAAATAACTGGCCAACCATCTGAGCCACCTCGAGCTTTGTCAGTCTCGGAGTCTTGTCCACAGACGTCTATGTTAATAACAGTGGAGACGGGCCCGATGGCAATGCGCTGGAGTGGTATATCAACACTGCGCGGTTTTATAGCCAGATTCGCAATTTGAAGATTGATATCACAGCAAGCAATCCAGGTGCCTATATGGTTGCACTCCACTATCAGGTGGCCCAGGCGACAACAATTAAGAATGTTAAGATCATCACAGATTCTGCCATGGTAGGTGTTGAGACTTTCAAGTCCACTAGCACTTAATTAGAGCCGGCTGACTATTTTACCTGACAGACTCAGCAAGGCATGTACGCAGAGAATGGTAGCAGGGGCGTCATGTTAGACATCACTTTCACCAGCAGCAACTTCAGGATTTGTAAGTGAGACCCAGCAGTCTAAGCCTCAACACTAACAGCTCGCAGATGGAGGCAGTCAGCAGTTTAGTGTCACGCAGTTGACCTTTAATAGCTGCAATACTGCAGTCAAAGTCATCTGGGACTGGGGTTGGGTATAGAAGAGCATCATGGTCAAGAACGCCAAAGTTGGATTCCGACTATACAACGATGCCAACGGGCAGATCCCAGGCTCAGTAACCATTATTAACTCAGTCTTCTCCAGTACCAAGTCTTTTGCAATTAAGATGGCCATCCCAGTTAACTGTCATGGACTCCAGATTCACCGGGTTGGTTTTAGATAATGTCCAGCTAGATCGTCCAATCAAAGACCATTAGAGTGACAACCTGATCCTCTTTTCCGGATATTACAAGAGCGTATATTGCTACCCTAAGCTGCCCCCATTCAGGTCACAATCTTTGCTGATTCAACAAACAGTATGTGATGGGGGCAACGTATAAGGAAAACAAACGGTCCTGGACCAACGGGTCAAAGGACTATGACCAAGAACCCTCTCTCCTGGGACCATCTGTCGCGGGACTCGATGTGGCTCCTTACTTTGAACGTCCCAGGAACCAGTACGCTGACAAAACCGCAGTAGACTTTGTTCATCTCAAGGATGAAGGTGCTGCTGGCGACGGCTCGACGGACGACACGGACGCTGTTCAGAATGCCTTCAATAAATATGGCGATGGCAGCAAGATCATCTTGGTAGATGCCGGCACCTACATCATCAAACGCACCGTTACTGTTCCCAAGAATGTGAAGATCATCGATGAGACCTGGTCGCAGTTTGCAGCATCAGGAGGTTACTTTGGCGATGCCAGCAAGCCCGCGGTCATGCTCAGGGTCGGCAACGAGGGGGAGGTCGGCAATGTCGAGCTACAAGATCTCATCTTGACAAGCAAAGGTCCGACCCCGGGAGTTATCCTGATGGAGTGGAACGTCGCCGCAGAAAGCGCAGGCTCGGCCGCGCTGTGGGATGTCCACGTACGGCTGGGGGGTGCAACGGGGACCGAGTTGATGCCGACAGAGTGTCCTCCGATCACCACTGGGACCAATCCATCTTCATGTCAAGTGGCTAGCATGCTCCTACACGTCACCAAGCGGGCTTCGGGCTATTTTGACAACATGTGGCTTTGGGTGGCAGACCACATGATTGACGATCCGTTGCTCGATGACCCATTGAACAACATGGAACAGCTCTCCGTGTACAGTGCACGGGGCATGCTGATCGAAAGCCAAAAGGCCACATGGCTGTACGGGACAGCTTCGGAGCATAGCGTCTTCTACCAGTACAACTTCAATGGCGCCCAAAACATCTTCACCACGTTCTTGCAGACCGAATCACCTTACTACCAGCCGACGCCGAAGCCCCCTGCACCATTCGACCAGGTGGTCGGCACCTTTGACAGCGATCCCAAGTACGGCTGCGATGGCAGCGATGCGGACGGCTGCGATGCCTCGTGGGCTGTCATCATGAAAAACTGCCAAAATGTCCATATCGGGTCTGCGGGCACGTACTCTTGGTTCCGCACGTACACGCAAGACTGCATCGACGTCCACGGTTGCCAGAAGGCGCTGTGGCTTCTCGGCAGCAACTACGATAACAATCGATTACAACATGTGATTGGGACCGGCGCGAAGAATATCATCGTCTCTCCGGACGGGACCACAATCACATCTGCAGCAAACCTCGCGGTCTCGAGCCACCCGAGTTGGGCGCACATCTCACTGTATGAGCTGCCATCCATTGGCGCGGCGCCCAAGCCTGGCGACGGGGGAGATGACCAGTGTTCAAATGCGGCCCGTCAATATAGCAGTGAATACGTGCCACCCGGGGAGATTGAGCTATGGTCAAACGATGGTACCGTGCTAAATCATGCCGACGACACAGACGGTCAGCAGTCTGTGACGATTGTCAATTTAACCCCCTACAAATTCATCCATACGGCGGGCCCCGAACCCTACCAGTTCTCGACCTGGCAGTTTGGCGACGTGCCCTCGGGGCGGGCGTTGAAGAACAACGTCACGTACGATCTGGGCCTCAAGGTGGGCAGCTTCGTCGACACCAACGGGTACGCCTACTATCAACTCGAGAACACCGACAAGACCTTTGCCGTGCACGTTACCACGCACATCCCGGACAGCTACGAGCGCCGCGTGGTCTTTGACCTCGGCGGCATGGGCCTGGGCTGGCGCGAGCTCGGATTCCCTGGTGAGCGGGTCAGCGTGGCACTGGTCATCAGCGGCAGTGAGGAGTACGGCTATGTCACCTCGCTGCAACTCAACAACGCCGACTGGATGAACCGCATGTATGCGATCATCAAGGATCGCGAACTGCGTCACGTCGTCGTCCCTGGTTCGCACGACGCCGGGATGAGCAGCATCACCAACTCGGGGTGGAACGGACTCGGCACTGCCTCGAACACCGAGACGCAGAGCCTGGACCACTACAACCAGCTGCGGGTCGGCGTTCGGTACTTTGACATGAGGATCGTCAGCATCGACGGGTTTGCCAGCTTTTGGGCAGCGCATGTCAACGACGAAACTGCCGCCGCGCCTCTGGGGGCGACGGGGAGTCTCTGGACAGCCTGATTGCGGGGGTCAATCGATTTACCACCGACTACACCGGGGAGGTCATGGTCTGGTGGGTGAGATACATGACCAACCTGGACAATGGTGACCTCACCCAGGCGAATCGGTACTGGAGCGCCGCGCTCGCCAACGCGTTTTACGATAAGCTCGAAGGGATCAACAACCGCTGCCCGGAACCGAGCGACGGCGGGAAATTCAATCGGCAACCGCTGCATACCTTTCTAGATGCAAAGGACGGCCGGGGTTGCGTGCTCATTATCATCGATGGCACATTGAACGCTGGGATCCCCAAGGGCCGCGCGGAGTCCAGAATCTACAACACCACCTCCTTTGACCGCGACGACTATTGGGCCCAGGAGCAGTACACGCAGCAAAACGCCGACAAGCAGATCGCCCACATGAAGAGCATCGCCCGCGATGGGGGAACGGGCGATTCCTACTACATTATGCAGTGGCAGTGCACTCCGAGCGCCCTGGATGTCGCCATTCCGCCCCCAACGCTGCAACTGATCGCCAACCAGGAGACTAACCCGGCGCTCTATCACTACGGCCTGAATGCCATCTCCCCGGACAAGTTTCCCACGGTGATCCTGCATGACGCTGTCGGACTCTTCCACGTGAGCGATCTCAGCGCCGAGAGTTACAACCCCATGATGCAGACCTTGGCTGTTGGGCTGAACTTGTACATGGTGAGCCAGAACTGCGATGTCAACGGGGGCCAGAATCCGCTCGCCCAGCACGCCACAAACACGCGGATGATGCTTTCAGTGGGAGGGGACCGCGGGGCTGGGTTCAGCACCTTCTCGGGGGTCATCTTTGCCAATGGCACTGTACTGGAGACACCACCGCCGGACTTTTGTCGCACATGTACCTTCAACGATACCGGCAGTATTGATCATCCCCCGCCGACTTTCAATGCCACCAGCGTCAAGCTTCGATGAGGTCGGTACATTGTCTTCTGCTCAATATTGAAGCCGGGTCTGGTATTGTATACCAGCATCGCACACATTCCCACCCATGGGTGTCGAACATTTAAGAAAAGATAGCACTGTTATGAACATAGCAGTCGCCGGCGGCCATCTGCGGGTTGCGGAACTATAAATTTCAAGCCGAATCTTCTATATCAAACACAACACGCTATATACATATTTAACAGCATCTGATAAGACACGAGAGGATAGGCTGCGGTGAATCATATTAGATCTCCCTTGCGTAAGTATCCCAATACCGATTTGGGCCAACACCAAGGAAAAGGTCGCTTTGGAAAACCAGTTACTGTCCTTTCACATATAAATGGGACGCCCCTTCATCCTTCCGCTAGCCTCTCTCATTCATTATTCACAGTTATGGGCCCCAGCCCCTTGATATGCAGCCAACTTGACTGAGTCTTTCAGATATCCTGAATGACTTACAGCCAAGTCAAGCTCAGACACAGCTACCATCCAGTGCATCTATAAAGAGCTAGGTCCCTTTTTATATTCTTCCTAGTCTTTTTTTCTTTAGGACCTTTTTAATATATATATAAGGGTATCCATTACTATGGATACTCCACTAGAAAAGGACTAGATTTAGCTAGATAGTGGTCAGGTCCATAGCAGACTTGGCCTCATATCATCCAGGACATCTGAAAGACTTAACTAAGTTAACCAGATTCATACTAACAGGGTTAGGGACCACATCGCGCTTCCTTAGCTGATTATCTATAGTAATCAGTGTAAGTGGCCGTGTGGAGATAGGCTACTTAGGGAGATTCCTAGCCAGTGAGATATCATCAACTAGGCTGCAGGTTGCTGCTATGATTATGGGAGTATATAGGTCTACTAATAAAAATATATGTATTGTGATTTACGCGTTTAAGCGGGGAGTTGACGCGCAGCTTATCAATCAGCCTTATCGGTGGGGATCTTCTTACAGATCTTCACGGTCTACGGAGTAGATCACTCGTCATTCGTCGCTGGCATCCAGAGAGGTAGGTACTTGATTACATTGCAGGCATATACTCTGAAACTCACATGATCTCAAGGTTTAGAGCCTCGATTGAAGGACGAGATTTCACAGATCAGGGTGGAGGAGAAGGGCCTGGAGACCTTGCGGGAGATCACGAATGGTTCCTGAGCTGCAAAGTGCTTAGGAGAATATGCCGAACCCTTTCAAATGGCGTTTCCGAGCTTATAGTGCCTAGGTGGATAATGACCGGGACGCTGGGTCAACTTGAACAGACCTCGCTGAATCGAACGTCGTTGAGCATTGCCTTGGTTTATAGGAACTCGATCAAGGCAACATTGCCCATGTTGGATGTCAACGTTCATACTGTGATTCGAAGTAGACTGTCCATGAGCCAGACTCATTATTAACCATCTTCGCATTGGTATCTCAAAATATCTTGAAAGTACTACACATGAAAGGCAACTATGGCACAGTATTAGGTGGCATCCCTATTAGTACTTCAATGAGAATGAAGAGAAATAAAATCAATCGACCCATGTCCCGTAACCCTATTAACTCCCGTCTCGAGATTCATTACCACCTGGGACCCAGTCGTAGCCATGAGGCGTCTCTGTAAAGAACAGGTCATCATTTACAGAGCCCAAGTAGCAAGAACGAAGCCAAGGAGACCAGCGGCAGAGACACCGAGCTGCAGCTGGCTAACAGCAGCGGCGTTGGGGTCGAGGTGGCGGTAGAGCTGCTGGTAGCAGTGCCGGAGCCAGAGGCCGAGGAGTCGGAGCCTGCAGATTGTCCAATTAGCTTTGGCTTCCTTGGCCTGTTTCAAAAATGACCAAATAGAATCAGCAACATACCAGAAGTGCCAGTCTTAGAGCTGCCGGAGCCAGTGCTAGTGGTGGTCGCGGTGTTGGTGCTGACACCAGTGTTGGCGGAACCAGCATTGGTCATGGTCGCGGGGAAGAAGTGGCTGCTGTAGCAGCTGTTCTGGCACGCGGCATACTTGTCGGTGTCGCTAGGAGTGCCAGAGCCCTGAGGGCACGCAGCAACACAGCTGACGGTGTCGTTGGCCTGCTGGTCGCTAGGGCAGGGAACCTTATAGCATCCAGCAACACAGCAAATGTCATTAGAACCGCCTGAATGCAATCGCGAGGTTAGCTTTATGTGCTGGATAGTTCAAGAAAAGCTATAAATACGGACATTTGGCGGCGCAGGAGGCCTCGGGGGTCAGGCTGATGGTGGTGGAGGCTGCGCTGTCAGTGGTGGACTGGGCAGTAGCCAGGACCAAGAGAGAGGAGACGGCGATGATGTTGTTGAACTTCATTTTGACTTGGTTTGACTGTAGAGTTTCCGAAGCGACAGACTTGAGATCTCAGTGCAAGAAAGAGAAAAGAAGATTACTGTTACAAACGAGAGACTGGTGTTTATTGATGAGGAGGAAGAAGAAGGAGAGGGAAAACAAAGGTAGTTGGGGGAAAGGAGGAGTAATAAAGTAAGACCAATGACAGTAGTAGATACCCTCAGGCCATGAAACCTTGCTGGGAAGGGTTCTTTGTGACGTGTGGATATTGGACACACTAATGACTCCAAGACTTGTCACTCCCAGGTTTCTTGTTGTTACGCCTTCCCATTAGTAGGGTTTCAGTCTTTCCTGTCTGTAAGTTAATACTTATTTTGAGTTTTAGGACTATCCTAACTGCTTTAATCATCCACTGACAGCGTCACTAAGGCTTCATGCAGTATCTCCTCAGCTAGCTTAGCTCTGTGGACGATCGTGGTTGGACAAAGCTGTTGAAGAATTGGAGAAAATCAGGTTGTCGTCGTTTAGTCTGGATTCTTCCAGTAGCATCGGCCATACAAAATACAGCGTACAACAATAATACATAATAATAATGATCCAAGGAGGATCTGATCATCGTCACCGACTGCTATTTTCGAAGCAAGCCGCCTTGTTTGGCTGATATGGTGACGCTCAATAATAGTGCAAAGATATCTAGTGATAGGCATAATAATGATACTTGACTAAATAATAAATGAGGTGCTCATTCAGTGTAACCACCATTTTGCGTGTATGTCATCAAACTTCAGCTGAAAAGTGAAGACCCTTGCTGATTATTATTAGCAAAATAGAAGATCAGAGGCATGAGGAAATTGTGGCTGTGGAATCTGGGGTCGGAATTCAAGAAAAAGAGTGCCTAAAATAAACAGATTCCTTAGTGTGGGCCTGTCTGCCTCTAGTCCGAAGTCATTTGACGCGGACCAGGTTTCAATTTTGACTTCTGTGCCTGTGATTTCTGACCAGAATGGAAATTGTGAGGCAAATAAGGGGTTTGTCTTTGTTGATCCTGGACGCTGCTCCGTCAGTACTCTCAATTTTCCACCACGACAATTGAGGACCATGAAACTTGGTATGAACAGGGCGACTGTTGCCTTGGACAAGGTATCTCGAATCTTCCTCGTTAAACCTCATCGCATGGCCCAAGTGGAGCTGCTAAAATGGTTTCCATGACTCCTCCGTCCACCAGTAACACTAAGCCCAGAAGCGAAGGACGTGCGCCGCCGATTCTCTCTAGACGATGGGTGCAAGTGCAAACAGGACAAACCACTATTATATTGTTCAATTAGCCTCACGTGATGTCGCGATACCGCGTCGCGTCGCTGCATCACTAAACAATGAGCCTTATAATCCGACGAGGGGCTATTTGGTTAAGATCAAGCGAGTCGCGACATGTCCGTTTCTGGTGACGACTCTAATGATTATTTTGACGATGAGATTGGCGACGTTACCGTTCCTGGGACACCCGACGCAGTTGAATCAGCCCAGACGAACAACCGTCCAGCAAAGCGTCGGCGCCTTGACGCTGGCGTTTTTGATGATGCAGGCAAGCTACCGCCACCTGATATTCGCTTACGATCTGGATCTGATACCTCTTTGACTTAGAATCCGATATCTCCATAGATCAGGGTGACGGGGAGGACGAACTTCAATCGCCCGACCGAGCGTCTGTTAACGGCGTTCAATTTGAGGATGTCGAGAGAACCTCCAAGTACAAGGTCTTTGTACCAAAACGCAACAACTTCCAGGAGAATATCTTCGTCACACAATTGACCCAGCCGCCTTCGCCCCCGGAGATGATTCGTGGCCCTCGATGGAAGAAGCCTGGCCCCGAACCTCTTGCGCCCGAGCCTACAACGACCGCTGTTGATGCCAGTCATCAACCGGATCAGTATTATGATGAAGATAAAGAAATGGAGGCTGCTATTGCAGCATCACTGCAATCATTTGAGGAAGAGAATGGGGGAAATATCCCCTCTACTGCATCCAGGTCTACACCGGCACAGACTGCTGTCGCACCTTCCGCCGCACTGAAAGAGGCTGCAGCGGACGTGCCATTCGATCTTGATGATATACCAGATGACGCCTTCGATTCGGACCTATCCTTGTCGCCACCCAGAACGACATCTCAAGCGACACGTCGACCGCCTGTTCAATCTCAATTCAGCACCAATCGCCCGCTTGGCCTACGGCAATCCACATTATTCGACATGGCTGCACGAAATTCCGACATCTCCTCGCAGCAGGGAGAGCAAATTTTCTCACCACCGGAGAAAAATGAACCTCCTACTCATCACAAACTCAATGAAGAGGCTATAAACACATGGGTCTACCCCACTAATTTGGGGAAGACGAGAGATTACCAATTCAACATCGCACAGCGAGGTCTTTTCCATAATCTGCTGGTTGCGCTTCCTACTGGTCTTGGAAAGACGTTCATCGCTGCGACCATTATGCTCAATTGGTATCGATGGACAAAGAGTGCTCAAATCATCTTCGTAGCACCGACAAAGCCCCTGGTAGCTCAGCAGATCTCTGCTTGCTTCCAGGTGGCCGGCATCCCGCGATCACAGACGACCATGCTGACAGGTGAAGCCGCGCCAGGCATTCGCGCGGAGGAATGGAAAAGCAAACGTGTTTTCTTCATGACCCCTCAAACCCTCGTCAATGATCTCAAGTCAGGAATAGCCGACCCCAAACGTATCGTTCTGCTCGTTGTTGACGAAGCTCATCGTGCCACTGGCGGCTATGCATACGTGGAAGTGGTCAAGTTCCTCAAGCGGTATAACAAGAGCTTCCGGGTCCTCGCCCTCACTGCAACCCCAGGTTCTACTGTGGAGTCAGTGCAAGCCGTCATTGATGGCCTGGGTATTGCCAAGGTGGAGATTCGCACCGAGCAGTCTCTCGACATTCGGGAGTATGTACATGCTCGGGACACCGAGATACAAACGTTTCAGCACTCCGATGAAATGGTGCTGTGCATGGAGCTTTTCACAAGGACTCTGCAGCCGCTTGTCGACCAACTTCGTAACCTCAACGCCTACTGGGGAAGGGATCCGATGGCTCTCACCGCGTTCGGTCTCACCAAGGCCCGTCAGCAATGGATGGGTTCAGATGCAGGGAGGAATGCGAACCTTGGCCTGAAGGGCAAAGTCAACGCAATTTTCACCGTCCTCGCGAGTTTGGCCCATGCTATCGATCTCTTGAAATATCACGGTATCACGCCGTTCTATCGGCACCTTTTGCACTTTCAGTCTAACACTGATGGCCAAAAGGGGGCAAATATCAACGCCAGATTGTGCAGGACGAAAGCTTCAAGAAACTCATGAACCATCTCCAGCCTTGGACTAAGAACCCAGAATTCATCGGCCATCCGAAGCTAGAATACCTCAAACAGGTCGTGCTCAATCACTTCATGGATCGCGGGGAAGGAACCGCAGCCAATGGAGACCAGAGTCAGTCAGCGACACGAATTATGATATTTGTACATTTTCGAGACAGCGCTGAGGAGGTTGTCAGAGTTCTGAAGCGGTACGAGCCTCTGATTCGACCCCACGTGTTCGTAGGGCAGAGCAGTGCGAAAGGATCGGAGGGAATGGACCAAAAGACACAGTTGAGCATTGTGCAAAAGTTCAAGAAAGGCACATATAACACTATCGTGGCAACCTCAATTGGTGAAGAAGGTCTTGATATTGGCGAGGTCGATCTCATCGTCTGCTACGACTCTTCGGCGTCGCCCATCCGCATGCTCCAGCGCATGGGACGTACTGGTCGTAAGAGAGCTGGTAATATTGTGCTGCTTCTGATGCAGGGCAAAGAAGAGGAGTCTTATATTAAGGCCAAAGATAATTATGAGAAAATGCAGCAGATGATAGCCAGCGGTACTCGGTTCATTTTTCATGACGACACATCCCCTCGCATCTTGCCCCCAGGAGTTCGACCTGTGGCTGAGAAGAGGCAAATCGATATTCCGGTGGAGAATACGCAGGCTGATTTACCAGAGCCCAGAAGGAGAGCACGGCCCCCAAAAAGGCCGCCGAAGAAGTTCCATATGCCAGATGACGTCGAGACTGGTTTTGCAAAGGCGTCCAGTCTAACTGGGAAAGTGACGAAGAAAGCAGAAACTAAGAGAGCCGTCCGCAAACCAACGCCAGAGCCTGTGGAGGTTCCCGCCCTGGAAGAAGTTCTCCTTACGCCAGGACAGCAAGAGGATCTTGAGCGACGCTATTGTCATATAGGAGGCACTAGTCCAGAGTTCATCCGGAACCCACGTGTTGACGCCTATCCTCGCCTGCAATCCGTTCCTAGGCCGACAAAAGCTGTTAAACATGGTTCCTTGACCTTCCGCATGATTGGTACTCTTCAAAAAATGAGTAAGGTCACTGTTGATTGTGAAAGCCGATACCGGAAAGTGTTGGCTCTGGAGTCAAGCAAGAAGATTCAGGACTCAGTTCTGTCTGGCGAATCGGGCCCTCCAGCGCAGAACAGTGGAAGGCTGGGGAAGAAGCCGCACGCCTTCAAAAGGGCGTTGGCCACTTCACGGCTAAACAATATATATGTGCGGAAGGACGAAAATGAGGACGGTTGCACTCCCGAACTGCTGTCCCCAGAGAAGTTGATGCCATCTTTTCTGGAACCTCATCCCGAAATACCTCCCTATTCATCACAAAGAAGCCAAGATGCTTTTGAACTAGATTTCCCTGATGTTGAGACACTTCTCAATCGCAGCGCAGAGCGTCATGCTTCTCGCAAACGAAATAGATTAGTTCTTGACGACAGTGAGGGATGACATTTTGGTCAGCGTGGACGCTCTTGGATACTTAAACTTGGCTTTTGGAAGATTATCGTCGTCTCTAGATACCCAAAATTACATAGCAATAGATGAGTTTTGAATCTCTTTATTGTTTTTTAAGGGTAGTATGTTCATCAGGAGCGTTCTCCAAGCTCAGGGGGAGCATAATGCCACCCCCACTTTCTTTGCGCACGCACCTTAATCGGCCAAGTCGAGAGGGAGGTCCGGTTTCACGTAGAGCTCCCCAAATACAACACTCTTCCAACACCTCACACCATGGCGGACATCCAATTTGACAGTGCGCTGTAAGTATCCAATTCCAAGCAATCGATTATATACCTCATATTCCACGTCTTGGGCCCTCAGAACGAGGAACCGGACAGCGGAGTGTCACCCCGCTCGGAGACAACAACAACAACAGCTCAAGCTGACCATAACAACCACATCCTAGCGATCTTCTCCGGCGCCTCAACCCCCGCGACACGAAACAGAACCTGCAGGCCATCACATCGATTGTCCCAGACCTGACCGAAGATCTCCTCTCCTCAGTCGACCAGCCTCTAGAGATCCGCCGCTGCCCGAAGACGAACCGCGATTACCTGCTCTGCGACTACAACCGGGATGGGGACAGCTACCGCTCGCCCTGGAGCAATGAGTTCGATCCACCACTGGAGGACGGGACGGTCCCCAGCGAGCGGGTGAGGAAGCTCGAGGTTGCGGCTAACGAGGCCTTTGATGTGTATCGGGAGCTGTACTATGAGGGTGGAGTGGGCAGCGTTTACTTTTGGGATTTAGATGATGGGTTTGCGGGTGTTATCCTCTTGAAGAAAGGTGGGCTTTGTTATTTGATGACTGGTTATATATGGGCTTTGCTAATGGTATTGCGGACAGGTGTTACACCCGGAGCGAAGAGCTCAGGAGAGTGGGACAGCATTCATGTCTTCGAGGCCACTGATAGGGCGCGCATGTCTCATTACAAGCTCACGAGCACGGTAATCCTGCACTTGGCGAACGAGAATGAGGCCCTCGGCGAGATGGATCTCAGTGGCAATATGACCCGGCAGATGGAGGTTGATCTCCCTGTGGAGTCGGATGCGAGCCATGTCGCCAATGTCGGTAGGCTCGTTGAGGATATGGAGTTGAAGATGCGGAACTTATTGCGTATGTTTCACATCTGTGAAGAGTTGTTCTGCCTTGACACGTCACATGCTAATCTGACTTGCGACGGCAGAGGAGGTCTACTTTGGCAAGGCCAAGGATGTGGTGGGTGAACTTCGAAGTAAGCCGCTTCCGTCTCACGGTAGGACAAGGGAATGGATGCTGACAAGGAATACAGGCCTCGCACCGCTTTCGGAAACCAATAAAGAGAAGGCTGCACACCTGGAGATGATTAGGTCCATGCAGCGGTAGTGCATCGGCCAGCCATTGCTCGCTGAGTTCTGCGAACTAGCATCTGTACTTTGCTTGCCGTCTTACATGAGCATGCCTATGTTCTTACTCCTTATCTCGCATCATCATCAAAGCTTCTGCCATACGCGTCAAAGTCGGTAAAGACTGAGAAAGGCAAAAGTAAATAGGTCTCGTTTCTTTTCAGCCTGCGCCGAATAAACTCGTTCACAAAAGCATCCGTGAACTGATAACTTCTTCAATTCAATGTGTGGGTATCATATAGCACTCCTAGTTGCCCCAATAAGATGTAGCTTGGCTTGTAGACCTGAAAACTCCAGCGCGCTGAGATATGCTGAGTAGTGGGCGCCTCGTAATATTTAGGGCCTCTCAATCGACCTCCATCTTATGTCCTCCTTCCGTCTTCACCCTCGCAGCTGAGGAATCGCCAAGTTGTTCCACAAACTGCCTCGCTGCTGCCCATAGCTCAGCTTCCTTATCCTTCCCTACAGTGTCCTTCCTGCTATTCAGCCAGCTGACGTCCAACGGGTTCGAAACAACCGTTGCCCCTCCTCCGCCAGCACCAGGTAGATCACCAGTCCTCGAGGCCGACTCCGGTGCTAAGATAGCAGCTTCCTCCAGGGCGTAGACCTGGCGACGTAACCTGACATCGATGGAGGAAAGGAGCGCGAAGTACTGCGACGTAGCCTCTTTAAACCGCGTTTTATGCGACTCGAGGGAAGTGTCCTCGGGGGAGTCGCCCGTTCTGGCGTTTGTGAGGGCTTGGATCGCGAGACCGGCGGAGTGAATCAGTTTTGCAACATCCTGCGAGCGATCAGTGTCTGCTAAGTAAGTGGTTTGGTGACAGCTGCGAAAGGTTCGTTTGTGTCTATGCTGAGAGTCGCGCGGAGCTACTCCTTACCTTGTCGACCTCGTTTAGCTGGCGGATCCGGTCCGCTGAAGTGAATACTTGATCTGGTTGTGCAGAGCTCCCGCCCTCGGCCATCTCTTTGACATTGAGGTATTCCACCCGGAAATCTATCTCAGTGAAACCCGATTGAAGATAAGGTCAAAGTAAGAATAACCTGACCTTTGTCATGATGCCGGACAGTGACAGATTTGATTACCTAAGCCAAACCTTAGCGCTAACCCAGACAGTCCTAGCTCAATATCAGAGACGTGACTTCGCAAGCCTCCCGATTTACTGAACCATCCGAAATCAAGTCACTTTTGCATCTTATCTTCGCTTTTCGTTCAGAACGCAGCGAAGCCAAAAAAAGACGCGACCGTCAGTACCTGGACATCTAGCGTCGCGCCATGTCTGCGCCAGGCGGGGCTCCGAGCCCTGCACCTCGAAGTGCAAGTATCGGCCCCGGTGGTGGTGGTATGTCTATGCCTCCCCAGCAGCCCATGGGAAATACCACTCCAGTGGGAGCACCGACTCCGGGTCCTCCACCGCCGCCACCGAGTGGTGCGATGTCGCAGCAGAATTTGAATCAAATAGTAAGTATTGAGGATTTTGATGCGTGAGTTTCGTGGGTTTTGCGCAGATTATATCTCATGTGCTGGTGTTTTTTCGTCATTAAGTGGGTTGTTTTGGCTGTGTTGCGCTTGGACAAGCCTTGTGTTCGTCTTGAAACACGGCCGTAGCGTTTCATGTGCCTTGAGGACGAAGTCTGTCATGGTTCAGTGTTCATTTCATGGCTTGCTTTACATCACGTATACACTTTTTCTTTACTGTGTTGCTAACGCTATCTAGGTCATTGATTACCTGGCCAAGAAAGGATACAGCCGGACTGAAGCCATGCTGCGCATGGAATCAGCTAACCAAGAAATCGATGGCCGTCCTTTGCCTCCTCTTGGCGAGGATGCGCGTCCCAAGTATAGAATGGGGTTCGGTGAGTATCCCTACATAGTATATCATTAGTCATATACTAATGCCGCGTGCATCTAGATATACTAAAAGTCTGGGTTGAAGACAATCTAGATCTGTATAAGGTAGGCCGCTTTGTCATCATTAACATGGGCAATGCTTACTGTCGGGCAGCCGGAACTTAGGCGCGTTCTGTGGCCGCTCTTTGTCTACTCTTTCCTCAACATGGTGACATCGTTTTACCCACAAGAGGCCAAGCAGTTCTTTGATATAAACAAGAACCTGTTCCTCCCTGAGCACACAGACGATGTCCGTAAACTGGAGCCCATCAGCCTTCCTGAGCATGTTCAAGACAATGCTACGGCCAAACTCTACCGGAATAACAAGTATCGCTTAGTACTCAGCAACCCAGCATTTTCGAACCTTATGCAGTTTCTCGAAAACAAGTCGAAAGAGGGAGGCTCTGTTATGTCCGCTATTCTGAGCAGCTACTGCACAATCATTACCAAAGAGCGTGCGTCCGACGATCGTTTCAGCTTCGCTGCTATGCTAGGCCAAGCTGGAGCAGGGCAGACATTTCCCGCTGAAGACGAAGGTATTCCCGGTCACCATCCTGGATCGGCCTACACCGGCGATAATCCGGCAATGGCTGGAACATTACCCCGGCTCCGACTGGGCAAGCTTCCTATGGAATCTACGCTTGAGACCGACGTACGAGGCGAACTAGCAGACGAAGACATGAAGAACCCTCCGGCACCTGGCCACTACAGTCTCGTGCAGGAGTTTGACCAGATGATCAAGAAGGAAGAAGACGATGAAGCGCCCAGTCGTGCTGACATTCCATATCCTCCCTCGACCGCACGCGATGTGGCTCTGGAAGTCCAAAAGGTGAAAGAGAATCGTGATCGGTTCAGGATTGAGGGCCGGACAGGAGGTGTTGGTCCTGCAGTCAGTGTTTGCATGTTCACATTCCACAACACTTATGACGGGTGGGTAATGACCGACTCTTTGACTGGGAGTTTTATTAATGAAGTGACAGAATCAATTGCCTGGATTTCTCTGACGATAATATGCTCGTTGCAGCTGGTATGCAGGAGTCGTATATTCGTGTTTGGAGCATGGATGGCAAGAAAATCCAAACAACCTACGATAACGTGGATGATGCGCCTCCCTCGAACTCGCGTCGTCTGATCGGACACTCTGGTCCGGTTTATGCAGTCGCATTCGCACCTTCTGCCACTCGCTCAGAGGGCGCTGTTGCGCCGACCAACGCCCGTTGGCTACTCTCCTCGTCTGCAGACAAGACCATCCGACTCTGGTCTCTTGATCTATGGCAGTGCATGGTCGTCTACAAGGGCCATGATCATCCTGTTTGGGATCTTCAGTGGGGCCCTTTCGGTCACTACTTTGTTTCTGGTGGACATGACAAGACCGCTCGTCTCTGGGTTACAGACCATATTCGTCAGCAGCGTATTTTCGTCGGCCATGACCAGGACGTGGACTGTGTCTGCTTTCACCCGAATTCCGCCTACGTCTTCACTGGCAGCTCCGACCATACGGTCCGCATGTGGGCGGTCACCACCGGTAACGCTGTGCGGATGTTCACTGGTCACACCGGCAATATCACGGCCTTGGCCTGCAGCAGAGACGGCAAACTTCTTGCATCCGCAGACGATCAAGGATCCATCCTCTTGTGGGATCTGGCGCCCGGAAGATTGTTGAAGCGCATGCGCGGTCATGGAAAAGGAGGCATCTGGTCCCTCAGCTGGAGCGTTGAGTCGACAGTCCTGGTCTCTGGCGGTGCCGACGGCACTGTCCGTGTGTGGGACGTCACCGGCCCAGCCCAAGATCCATCCCAAGGTCGTGTAGTCGGAGACGGCGGAGCAGGCACAAAGGTCGATGCAGGTAACCCCTCTGCCGCTTCCACTCAGCCCTCGACCTCGGTTGCTCCGGGAATGGGCAAGAAGAAAGGAAAGGATGTCGTCGTGACACCTGACCAGATCAGCGCCTTCCCCACGAAGAAGAGCCCGGTCTACAAAGTCAAGTTCACCAACATGAATCTGATCATTGCCGGCGGGCTTATCTTCCTTGATGAGAAATTGTGAGTTTCGTTACGTTGCAAAAGTGGCGCCAGATACCCGTATTGTATTTTGATCTGTCTTCCCTTGCATTTCCTATTGCTCACTGGACCATCATGGGGCTTGGTGGCTTGATATTCGGCGGCGTCGTGGGGGAGGCATCGGTGTTACATTGGCAATAGTACAGAAAGTCACTGGCTTTCCTCTGTCCAATAATGATCCAATCAAATCCTGTTTGTAAGTCTATAGCATGGTAATCCCTCTTTGTCGGGACATTAGAAAGTAAAAATGGTTTCACTACTCTACGGCTTCTGCATATGTCCCGCGCTGCCACCACCATGCAAAGCACTAAACGAAGCACCGGCACCTGCACCCTTCTGCATGGCAGCGGAAGCCTGCATATCAGCCACCTTTGGCGGAAGCACCAGCGCGCTTCGATCATTCCGCTTGTAAAAGTCCACCAGGATCTGCGCCGTCTTCGCCGGCATATCCTCCTGGACGAAATGGCCCGCTTCAGGGAGAACCTGGAGTTGATATTTTCCTGTGCAAACAACCGTCAGCAGGACACAGCCAATAACGAGAAGGCTAAGACAGACCTTGCATCTGCCCGATCATCAACTCCTTGTCTAGTCTATCTGTCCCGGCTAACAGAAGGAGCTTCCCGCCGCGCGCCTCCAGGAATTTACGGCTGAGGCCGATGAACCAGTCTTCCCAGAAGGGCTTCGTGGCGGAGAGGTTGGTCCGCCAGACCCATGGTTTGGAGGGGTCTGAGGGTGTTTCTTCTTTGTATAGGAGGGATGGGACGGAGACTCTGGCGGAGGTTCTGTTTCGGATTGTTCGAGATCGTGTGCTGCAGCGATATGTTAGCCTCATTTCGGCGATGTAGAGAGAGAGATATAGGTGGACGTACTGCCACTCAATGCCCGATGTCAACGAGGGGAATCTAGAAGGACGAGTAGAGAGATATTTCTCCATACTTTGGAGGGCATCCATGGCTGAGCCTGTCTCATTTGTCATCAGTAGAACCCCCGAAATAGATAGAGGTATCATATACATACCCTCGACAACATCCAGCACCGCATAAGCCAGTAATTTAGAGCCGAGCTCCCCCTTCTTCGCAACATCAGTAATCACCGCACCCCCGAGACTATGCCCCACAAGAACCAGGTCGGGAAGCTCCCCCCAGCCCATTTCCGCCTGGGTCTTGCGAACAACGTAGACCAGGTCTTGGTTGAGCGTTTCCAGGCTGAGATCTAGTTCGGCGGCCTCTCCATCAGCTCGTTGCACTGACGTGCGGCCGTGGTCGCGCGCGTCTAGCGACAGGATCCCCGCTTTAGGGAGGATCTTGCGGATTTCCTCTGCGCATGTTGCGAACGAGAGTCCTGATGAACCGGCGCCATGGTGCATGACGAAGAGTGGGCCTGAGTCGGTGGGTGGTGTGAGATAGACATGGTGGATGATGCGGAGAGTGTCGGTTTCGCGGGTTAGAAAGAGCTCTTGGGTGAAGAAGTCTGACCAGTTCAATGAGGAGGAGTCGGAGGATCTGGATGTCATTAGCGGGATTCTCACATCCTTCTCATGGAGTCCGTGGGTTGGAGGTGAATGCATTATGCACCGGGATGCATATGCATCTGCAGTGCGACCGTGCCAACGTACCCCTGACTAGCTCTAGCAAACAGCTGCCTGCTCGGCGAGGGAATCACGGTCCCCGCTGATGAGACCGAAGAGGAGTCCTCATCGTGACTGCTTTCGGTGGGGTGGTTCATGGACGAAGACTCGGATAGAAGAGGGGCCTCGGGCGGCAACTTGGCCAGCTTTGATTTGGCAAAAGCCTTGTGAAGATCACTCATGGGCGGTTGATATCTATGGCTATGGTCTGATTATATATGCCTCTATATCGACGTCAGAGCAGATTGTTGATTAGGGAAGGCAGTTCCTCTGACCATCTATCCGGAGATGGCGTTGTGGTAACGTGGGGTAGGCCCAACCTGAACAGGGTTGTTTTGAGGCTGGACTAGATATATCGGGTAGGACAGAAAGGACTGGCATCTACAATGATGGTTTATATGGTTGATCCAATTTTATCTTATTATCGAATCTTCGTGTACTTGCAAAGCAGATGTTGATGAACGTGGTGTAGGTGGGCAGTGCCGCCCTGAGCTGGCGGTGAGTAAGCACCGTTCGCTGCTATAGATACTCCGTAGACACCATCACATTCGCGCAGACGGGGATGGTCGCTTTTATGTTGTCCAGCATGATATTGAGACCATTCATGGGGTTAATCCGATCAGTTCTACTCGTACAATCCGGCGGTGGGAGTAATTACGCGGGACTGTGGCCGGGTTATTATGTTGTTTTGGTGTATAGGTCACAATATGAAGCGGAGTATATATATCTGGATGATTGTAGAAATGGCAAGTCTGCATTTAGTACACCATTGTCCCACTATTTCACTGCGAAAGTAGAGAGGTAAGATAATCACATATATCGAGCCGGAGGCGGCCAAATCCCATCGGGCTCCCCCTCCGCATTCCGCGAGTGACGCGCCTCCCGATGCAACAGTCCCAGCTCCGAGGTATGGCGATACGGTCTTCGTTTTGCCTCACCCACGAGATCGCGCTGTGTAACACGCGCAAAGAGCGTCGGGGCGATGTGCTTGATGTGCACCTTGAGCGCCTCAGCCGTCTCCTCCGGCTCGCCCAACCAGACGTACGATCTGGACTCGTCGCGCGATTGCAAAGACTCCTCATCAACATAGAGGAAGCAATCCAATCGCAGGCCCCTCGGAATCTCGCTGTTGTCGCGCATCGTCTGAAACCTACCCCGGCCGTTAGGAGGTGGGCTTCATTGTATGTGAGAGCATCACCACTGTGGACGGCTTAGGCCATGAGTTCACTCATGCTCTGTCCACAGGCGCTTCGGCAGAGCGCCTCCTCTTCCTCTGCGGGTGGGCGATGGGGGATGGCTCTTCGTTCTGCATCGGTCAGTGTGGATGGGTCGCTAATGGCGCTGTTGTAGAGTGTCCGCGTCGCCTCTTCCAGGGCGAGAGGGCTGGTGTCTGTGACTGTGATGGCTCCATCATACAGCTGGACAGACATCAGGGAATAATATGGAACAAAACGCAACCTAAACTGATTATACAGGAAAAGGCGCTATGAGAATGTCGATGGCGGGGTGGAATACTGTCTTCAAGGCTGACGATCACCTCCTGGTCTGGAATGGTGTATGTATACTGGCTGATGAAATACATTTGATATGGCTGTGCGACATGGGACGGCCTTCAAGAGACTTATTTCCTGGCCAGATGTCGAAGTTGCCCATGCTAGATGGGTCACTAGTTGCCCTGAAGCGCGAGATATATATACAAAGGACAGCCAACAGAAGCTGTGGAGATCTAGGTCAACAGCAAGTGAGTAGGCCGGTCAGATCAAAACATAATACCTCCATCGACGCCTCATGTACTTCTATTGTGATGAGTAATTGGGGATCACGTGATTCCTGGATCGTCGATGACCTCACTGCGTCTGCAATTTAGGGATCTGCGGGAGCTGCATCAACGGATCATCAACGAATGCGTCTATCTACCGGTGGCTCTGGGACCGTCAAGGGAGGGGAGATCCCGATGATCAGCTGGACACACAGCTCCATTTCCGGCGGCAAACATGAGCTTATCTAGCTCGCTTGATAATGAGCCGCTGTCTGGCTGCGTTCGTCATGACGTCAACTCCAGGAATTCATGATCTACCTTGCTATCAGTAGAGGGATACCTCTCTATCTCAATTTTTTATTGTTCATAATCCTCCTATCTCTTCTAGTCAAGTCTAACGAATTTATTCTTTGCGTGGTATCTCTGAAAGAATAGTCATAACGACTCCACTGTCATCTATTACCGAAGTCCTACCTATGACATATAGGCCGCGCAGAGGACAATGGTTTCACTGTGGCGCTCGAACGATAACCCGGAGCGAGAGGAGCAAGGCCGCGATGAAGATGATAGATCCAGAGGACAGTATCAGGAAGCAGATGAACGGACACGACTTTTACCGAGAGAAAACCAAGGATATCTGAGTCCCGATGATCCTGCAGTAAGTTGCGGATGTTGAGGATAACAAACCTCCTGCGCTCGTGTTTCTCTAATAGTTTTTACTATCAGGTATCCCCCTACAATCTGTGGAGTGTCAGGGCTCTCAGAGCCTTGTCCTCTTTCTGTCTCGCCCTCAGTTTCGTCTGGTGGACCTTCCTGCTCGTCTCCATCTTCGTCAGCCCTCCGATGATGCACAGCCGTGGCTCTGGCTTTTTTAGCTTCGCGTATACGACACTCACCGTCGGCTACCTCGTTATCGCACTACTATTCTTTACAATCCCGTCAAAGGCCATGACGATATCCGGCATAGTGGTGGCCGTCTTCCTCTTTGTGGATATGTGCATTATCCTCGGTGTACCTCAGCTGCGCGTCGAAGAGGGCTGGGTCGGTATCGCCTCGGTCGTCTGGGCCACCCTGATATCCATCTTCAACGTCCTCCAAGACCGGACCGTTGCCTGGGGCAAGAGGGAGGAAGAGGAGCGCCTTACCGGACGAGAGGAAACCCGGCGGTCCCTCCGGGAATGGATCGCCGTGCTAATCGAAACGATCTTCATGGTCGTGATCGCGATAGTCTCGATCCTCTTCACTGCAACTCTGATCATCCGCGCCCGCGATGCCTCCCTCCACGCCCCGGGACAAAAGTACCTCGTCAACGGTGAGAAGTACCAAGTCCACCTCGCCTGTGTCGGTCCCTTGAACGGCACCACCGACGGCAACGGAAAGCCCACCGTCCTCCTCGAAGGCGGCGAAGGCCCAGTCGAGCACTCTCTGCAACCCTTCATCGACAACGTCTACAAACAAGGCCTCATCGACCGCTACTGCTACTGGGACCGACCAGGATACGCCTGGTCCGACAATGCCCCCTCCCCACACTCCGCCGGCATGGCAGCCGATGCTCTCTCCGAAGCACTCGCCCTCGCCGGCGAGGAAGGGCCCTGGATCCTGGTCTCCTCCGGCGTCGGCTCCATCTACAGCCGGATCTTCTCCAGCCGCCACCTCCTCGAAACGAAGGGCATCATGCTCATCGACGCCATGCACGAGGACTACCTCGGCCAAGTGGGCAACGCCGGCCGCGGCTTCCTGCTCTGGCTGCGCGGGATCCTCTCCCCGCTCGGCCTGGACCGCCTCTTCGGCGCCATCTTCAAGGGCCGCACACGCGAAGACCGCGTCTACGGCCGTAGTGCGTACCAGACGGACAAGTTCCTCAAGGCCAAGTTGCAGGAGAACCTCGTCGCCGAGTCAATGACTGCCTCCGAGATCCAGACGGCGCGCCATGTCCAGATGCCCGATACGCCGCTTGTCGTCGTAAGCTCCGGGGTCGAGGTCCGCAGGAGCAACAAGTGGGCCAAGACACAGGAGGATCTGACCAAAATCACGCAGAACTTGAAGGATTGGGATATCGTCAAGGGTGCGCCTCATGAGGTGTGGAGGACAACTGAAGGTCGACAGGTTCTGGAAAAGAGACTCAGGGAACTGGTCAAGGGCGAGTGATGATACCCGTTTCTGGGATGATTTCTTTTTCTGCATTTCAGGTTTGTCTATCAAATTGTAATGTATCTAAATTGTCTTACGAGTGTGATGTCCTCATGTTTGTCCTTCTATATGCGGTCCATCATTCTTTGGATTTCTGTGCCTTCTCTCAGGGATCTCTCATTTCACGCGGTTACTACCTAGGTTAGGGATGACAAAAGAAATTGATGAGGTAAATTGTCCTGTCTGATCATTGCAGTCGCACTCATGACGATAATCAACCGCGCTGGAGATCGTACACCCATAGACCAGAACGGAGCAGCCTCTCGAATCAGAAAGACACCAGCCACAAAACTATTCCAAGTAGGTAAACTATTACGACTAGGTATACACTCATGGGGCTCTCGAACCCTGACATGCAAGTATCAGCCATCACTTTTGGAGTGCAGCGGACTCCGGATCTACCTCATCCAAATAAGGGCGGTCTTCATGAAGGCTGGACAGACTCCGAAAACCCATACCAGCAAGGAATCGTAGGATGATCGCAAAGACACAGACGAACATCGATACAATGGTCACTAAGATTGGATGCCGCATACCAACGATGAATGGTCGGACAATGTCGAAGCATAAGGTGGGCACAGGGAGACGCAATTCGAAAAGACGCGTATACCCATCCATTGAAGTATGGGAAGAAGGTGCATCCTGCTCGAAATCTGCAGCACGTTCCCGGGAGGCTGATAAAACAGCTTCCACATGCACGATGTACGAGACTTGAGCTAGCGAGGAGCACTGCGGGTTGTGCGGAGGTTGGTATAGGGTCAATGTTATCGGAGTAGAACTGTGTAGCTTCTGCCAGTGGGGAATCAATCTCGAGGGACGCGACAGTAAACCGGCTAAATGCTTCAGAAATGTGTTCTCTTTGGGTCTGCTAGACGAGGCTCCGTGATCGGTGCTGAATGACCTCAAGAATGCGATTCGGGACTCGGGCGAAAGTATAGCCCGAAGCAGTGGTAATCTATCACTGGTGGGTATTGGAGCTGGAAATGGCGTGTCCGGATCGCCTAATAGAACACGATACGCATTCTGAACACCGCGATGGGCGACTCTCCGCTGATCATGAGGCTTACGGTGGCTCGAATCGACCCATGTCTCTCTTTGCACAGTCGAGGCAACTTTCTCTTCCGGAGGGAGATATTCCACAAAGCGAGAATGTGGCTGAGGCCATCTTCGAGGCTGGGTAAGACTTGCGTGCTGTGACGGCGTGGGATGCTTGCGCTCCGGTGAGATTGTACTTGCTCGTGGTTGTGCTTGGCCAGAAAGCTTGAAACCCTCTACCGCAGCATCAGTGAGGAAAGGAGGCTTCGGTGGCCTTGGTGGTCTCCAATTACTCTCATCTTCATTGGCCAAGAGGCGGGATCGGACGTTCTCTGAGCTGCAATCAGGCCAGGTGATCGAGGTGATGTTACTCTGATGCGATGAGAGCGCACTTTTTCTGTTTCTTTCGCGGTACAGGTGTGCAGACGAGAGGCGCTTCGCCTGTTCGCTTTCGGACGCCGGACTATTGGTTGGATTCGTGGGCAAGGGTTCGTCAAAGATGAATTGCGTATCAGGCTGCCGACTGGAGGGTACTGTTGGAATAGTAGACTTGACGTTCGTACTTCGGTCGTTCCGAACTCCATCGAGTTCGCGCACAGGAGACGGATCTAAACTGCTAGGATACTCGCCGAACAAACTGCAAATGTCGTCTTCCGACTCGGTGAGTCGCGTCTTGTTCGGAGATTTTGAAGGAGTGACCGGTGCATTCTCTTGCAGATGTTCCTCCAGGGCGAACTGCAATGTATGTGAAGGGCTGAACTGTCGGTGCGATGTTATATGGTCCATTCGCAACTATTGTAGGTACCAGAAAATGGGCAAGGGCAGAAAAAAAAGATCTGCGAAGCTTGTCAATTAGTTATAATGAACTGAGGAGGTTGAAGAAAAATATGATTGCGGCCAAGTAGGGAAGTTAGACAGGATGCGAATCCATTTTGGGAAGGCGTGATCCCGTGCCACACAACGATCTCCTAAGGGTTAGGACTCCAGAGTAGGGACATGGTATGGTAAGGTGCAAGTATTATTGAAAGAACCTTGCCGGAGAATTGTTATAATTCTACAAGTTCAGAATTGCAATCGCGAGTGGTTATGTACATCAGGTATCTATTTCAGGACGGCTTGCAGGGTCTCCAGAACCTGTGACAACGTTAGTAATTGAGTATAGGCTTGTGCTAATGCGCTCGTGGTTGACCTACCTCAAGCTCAATCTTAGCCTCAGCAATGTCCTGCTCGCTGCCACTACCATTGGCAATCTTCTGGACCTCGGCGATCTGGGACTTGACAGCCTGTAATTGAAAGATTAGGGTCAAAAAGTATATCAAGACATTTTCTTCATTTCCACAACTTACATCGGCGCTGAAGTCCTCGAGGGGGTATGCCTCCACGGCGTTGATGCTCAGAGCAGAGTCAGGCTGAACGACGGCGAAGCCACCAGAGACTGAAGAACGTAGACTCGTTAGTGCGATGCTATCGGAAAGTAATGCGACATCTTCGTGGTCCCACGATATCGCAGCACAAATCTCAGCGGGGTTGTCCGGACGTACGGAAGAACTTCTTGTTGGCACCACCCTCCTCAACGATCTCAACGAGACCGGGCTTCAGCTGCTCAATGGAGGGAACGTGGTTGGCGAGGACACCCATTTCTCCGGACTCGGCGGGGATGTTGACCTGGACACTGTAAGGGGAGGTCGTCAGTACGCATTCAAGTCATGTTCCGAATTGTCGGTCGTCGATGAGAGGGGAGTTGGTCGTCACATACACGCCGGTCGACTTGAAGATAGTCTGTTCCGAGATCCTTATGTCAGTTTCCAGCCTACAAGTCGAAAAGGGTGCGTTCAGTTATCTCGGATCGTACCTGGTGAGGAAGGGCCAGAGAAAGCTTGATCTTGTCCGACACAGCCTCAGCGTAACCTCTGCGCTGGAGAGGAACGCGGAGAGCTGAGGGACGAGCCCTGAGAGCAGAGCGGGCAAAGCGAAGAGAGCTCATCTTGCAATGGATGGAAGGGAGAACGTGGTGATGGTATCCCTCTTGAACCTGGGTCAAAGTTGCAAAGGTCGAAGTCCGACTGCCGGTTGTTCCCTAGCGGCTCTTCGCGTCACGTGATAGACCTTGACAGAGGCATCAAACAACGCCCTATAATTCAACAAACTAATCTTTGCAGATAATTGAACGACCCGAGATTGTTTGGTATATACAAGGTCTTATTGATCGATTGGCGATAAAAAAGTGTTCTTCTATTCTGAAAGGTCAATATCCCTCTCCTATTACTAGGACATAGACTCCATCACGCATTGCGACTACATCGACTGCTAAGCTTTCGTACATCTCGGACAGCAGTGTCATGCCAAGGGCCACCGGCAGATGCTCTCAAAAGGAATATCAGTGGCATTTGCTCTACTGATGAATACATTGATTCCGGAAACGTACTCCGTAGACTACATTTCAACGTGGATGTTTCAAGCATCACAATGTGAGGTCACGTGATATAAGTCGCCTACACACTGTCTCTTTAGCCTTCGTAACAGATATCCCACCTTATGCTAATGTATTTTCGCGCTCACAATGGCTTGTTGAGCACCCGAACTATTGTTGGCACGCCCTACATCCTCCTGGAACAAGCAAGCAATCGATGTCTGGCATCATTGTCATCTCCATGCCAGGCGATATTGGGATTCGACTTAGTAATCAGGTCACGGGACATCGCTCTCATTCACGGCCAGTCTTACGAGGCACTAGTACTCCAACTTGAGAATTGATAAGTTGCTCCCTAAAAGTGTCAAGATTAAAAGACATACAGACAAGTAGTCTCAAAGCAGGTAGAGGAACAACCCGATAGTGACCAGCAGCAAGTGCTGTTGTGAACATAAGGTAGACATTTGGCGCTGCCACAGTTGGCCGAACGGAATGGACCAATGACGCTAGCCGCTGGAGCAGTAAGCGAAATCCCACACAAATCTTTCCCAGCGGAACCCTAGCCGGAATCTTTGGGGGGTCTCTAGCCTTCTGCTCAGTTCAAGGACATCTTCAATCCGCCAACTCATCGTCAACCCGTTTCTTGTTGCGACACATACCGTCAAGATGGCCAGTACGTTACCTGAAACCCGGCATTTTGGAAATCTCGAATCGATTTTATAGCAGCACAATGTCCTCGGATTGTTCGGAAGTCGCTGACGGTTATTTTCACTTGAACAGAGTCCAAGAACGCGTCTCAGCACCACCGCAGCCAGAAGGCTCACCGCAACGGGTTCGTACAGTCCTCAGCAATTTGAAATCGAAATATTTTGGTTGGGAGGGAAGGATTTTGTTGCAGTGATGGATTTGACATCACCGGAATCGGTCCTGAATGACTCGCGACCAGCTTGCAACATGTCCACCAACCACATTTTGAAGAAGGAAAAGACAGGTCGCTGATATTTGCCGTTTGATTCGAACAGTATTAAGAAGCCTAAGACTCACCGTTACCCCTCCCTCAAGGGTGTTGACCCCAAGTTCCGCCGCAACCACAGGCACGCCCTTCACGGCACCATGAAGGCTCTGGTACGTTGACTTCTGCTGCTGCTTAGTCGGAAGCAGCTGGATGTCGGAGGATATGGCTAACTATCCTACAGAAGGAGCGCAAGGAGGGCAAGCGGGAGATCGCATAAATTGATTCATCGAAATTAAATGGGAAGCGATTTGAGTTGGTTTAATGTGCGATGACACAGAGCGTCATGTCGGAAGAGCCTGGCTGGGTTCTCGCGCGACGGCTTGTTAAATAACACAAAAATGGATTTCGATTCCACGACTTGGCCATCATGAGTGCCTGGAGCATGATCTTGTTTCTGCGATAGGGCATGCCTTCGTGCCGGCTTGGTTCAGTCTGTCTTTGCTTTTTTTTCTGCATCGGGAACGACATTCGGTCATCCCGTCGTCCATTCAGGCATATGTGTGTACAGCTTCGTGTCTTTTCCATGCGCGTTTGCTGAAGGATTTTTCAACGTGCCGAGAAGAGATCCCATGCCCTCCTATTACCAAACACCCTTTCCCTTTCTCTCCCGTGGCGAGAGGGTGCATGGATGGAGGGCTACATACTCGTAAGCAAGATAGTCTGAATATCAATATGTTTTCAATTTCCTTATTCTGCGAGCTCCATGCGCTTCATTCAAAGAACCTGGTTCAAGAGCTCATCGAGCCAAGCGTTTCAAGATCTACACCCTCCAAACAATCAGCCTCTTATCGAACCCACCACTAACAAGCCACTCCTCTTTCACCACCTTGCCATCTCGCTGCACCTCAACCCAACCAGCCCAGATAGCCCGTACCTTCGATCCAACCTGATGCCCATCTTTTAACATCGCCGTCACCTTCCCCGTCATAGTCTCCACCCCGCGAATCACCCCATCATCCCCATTCACCCACACCCCCGACCCATCAGGCCGCCAAACCACCTGTGGAGTGGAGTAAACCGTCTGCGGCGCAAACGTATTCGCCTGGATCATGATGGCCGCATCCTCGCGGTTCTGAAGCGCAAGCGCAGCAAAGGCCTGCGTGGCCTGTGTCTCTGGCTCCGCGGTACTGCCCATGGGCGCGTGCCCTGACGACTCCTGCTCCTGCTTCGGAAATAGCAGGCGCACTAGGATGACCTTCATGTGCGGGAGGGTCGAGGCCGCGACGGCTATGAGGCCGGGATCGTGCGGGCTCAGAGCAAGACAGGAAGGGGAGAACGCTACCCAGGCGTTGGAGTGAGGGGCTAGGTTCTGTTTGCCGAGGAGCTTGCACTCGCTTGGTGTCTCGGTAGGCATCGACGATGGGACGCCGTAGTAGAAGAGATAGGTCGAGTCGCGGCGCGAGGCGAGCAGGACGAGTTCGTGAGTGTCTGGGTGGCGGACGAAGAGGATGGATTCTGGGTTGGTGAGCAGGTTGATGTGGGCGATGGGCTCGTTGAGCTCCACGCTGTCAGTATCTCCTGTTCTGCTGGGGATACGGAGACGGTAGAGTAGGATCTTGGAGTCCCAGCCGGCGGTAGCGACCCATACGATGTTGGATGTAGTCTCGCCTGCCTGGTCATCTTCTTCGCAGGCGATCACCTTGACTGCATACTTGGCATGATCTTTACGGCGGGACAGAATCCCGGCACCCCGTTGGAGAAGAAGCTGGCCGGACATATTGGTCATAAGGACGTATTTGCCATTTTGGATAGTCGCGTATGAGAGCACCGGGGAGTCAGAGTGTCCAGTAAACGAAGTGACAACGTCGTTGCCTTCGTCTGTCTTGAAAAGGTGCACTTGTCTATCAGCGCCCGTGGCGACGATGTAGCGTGACGAGTCATCTTGATTCTCCTCCTGGCTAGGATTCTGCCAGGGTTCTACCGAACATGCTAGAAGATTGGCAGGGATTGGTGTTTGGATGACATTTGGTGTTGAGGGCGCTGGATCGTGTCAGCAAACATATATCTCCGCGACATCGAGGCTGCAAGGCAGTGAGGGGACGATTGTTGGCTGACCTGGAACAGTCCAGACGTCTTTCCCTTCACTTTGACCATATCGCTCGAATTTTACGCTCTCATCAAACACTTGTTTCTCCTGAAGGACCCCCTCGATAGTCCAGTCATTCTTGTCGGTCTTTCCATCCGGTTGCCCCGCATCGGCTGGAAGTCCCGCTTCTCGGATGAATACATTCAGGGTCTCTGTATAATTATTTGAACGAAGGAAGCGAGCTACTAGAACACTAGCCAGCTGTGTTGTTGCAGTCATCTTGCCTATATGACGTGTCGAGCGATTGGAAAGTGTTGACAGAGGAAGCCGAACGACGTCAAGTCGCTGAGAGAGTTCCGCTCCTCAGTGATATTAGTACCCTATACAAACAAGGAACTCTAGAATTAAATTTCAACTGCTTCATTGCTTAGAACTCGTCGTTAATTGTTATAGTAATACACATTGAATAGAATTGAATAATTTCAAAAATTCGGTTGAAATCAGCTATGCAATGGTATCAGGCCATCCCTAGATATTTGGAGCAGAATGAAACGAAACAGTAGCAGAATCCAAATTTTTAATGCTTGTCGCCAGAGCTGCCTTTCCCCTAGCCAAACATGTCCTCTGCCCTCCTTCGAGGGCCGCCTCGCCCTTCAATCTTATCAGAGAATAACTCTTTACCGGCATTGGACTTGAACTTGGAAGGGAACAGCTCTCGGACAGATGCGCCTCGACCCTTGATTGACATGCCGTTGGCTGCACCTCGAATCGAGATACCCTGACCTTGGCCAGCTGCTCCGCGAATGTTGACCCCATTTTGATCCGCCGAGTCCGGAAACAACTCGATGTTCTTATTGTGCGACGGATTCTGGTCCCGAGCGCCATCAACCCGGGCCGCAGAAATTCTCCTCGAGAACAGATCTGCTGTCTCATCCGCGGCATCAATCGCATCTGAGCGGCGATGATTGCTTTGTTTGCTTGGGAAAAGTTCTTTCTTGAGGTAACTTGACGCTGGCTTGTTTGGAAAGAGCTCGCGGGCATTGGAATCGCTGTCGATAGTACGAGAGGGGAAAAGCTCCTTGCCTTCGTTGCGACGGATAAGCTGTGGCGAGCGCTCTCGGAAGCGACTTCGTGTGCCGCGCTCCTCTTGCTCTAGACGACCACTCTCGGCCAGGGTGTCGCGACCTGGGGAAGCGCTCCGATTCCGAAGGCGGCCAGATAAACGTCCTTCGTCAGGGAATAGTTCCCGCTGGCCTCTCCGTGTTCGTCCGTTGCGACCTCTCTCTGAGTCTGAATAGTCGGTGCTAGCACGTGGGCCTTCGTCGTCGTACATATTGGCGCTGAAGTTGTCGTCCGCGTCACGGTCTCTTCGCCGTCTAAGCTCCCGACTGTCGAACCGTCTCCGTTGATAGTCACCATCGCTCGAGCCTTCGCCGCCTTGACGACGTCTGTCTGCGAGTTCTCGTCGCAGTTTCTCCCGGGGATCGTGTTCAGGGTGCATGAGATAGAATCGACTGGATTCGTATGCGCGGGGCCTTTTGCGATCGGTCTTCACTGCCGCCCTCACTTGAAGCACGGATTCGGGATGGGTTGACAACGCCTTGGCAGACCGTAAGCGCAAAGGCGGAAATGAAGATGTATCTTCCTCTTCGCTGGTCTGCGTGAAAGCTGCCAGAGCTTGTAGACCAACTTCGGGAGATGAGTAGATGATATTTGCGGATGTGTCGTCAATCCACTCGATGCGGGAAGGGGCCTCGGCGGAGAAGTAATCTGTCGCGAATTGTTTGATATTATCCGTAGTTAAATCATCAACACCTCGTATGTGGACCTTCTCATACTGCGCTTCAGCCGTCGTGGGATCAACCAAGCCGTCGTGACTAGTAACGGTCGTGGTCGCGGGTTCCTAAGGAAGTTTGAGATAGGTTAGATATCACTAGAGACCAGAGCAGACAAATTGGGGCCATTGTCGCTCACTATTTCAATTGACTCCGGCTCTGGAAGCGGTCCGAGGTCAATATCCATGTCGATATCCATAGAGGCGTCCATGGCGATGGAAGTTGAGTGAGCACCGTTTGACGGGTCAGGCTGTGTCATGCTGGCAACCTCCATGAGGGAGGAGACAAGATACGTGGACAAAGGAAAATCGGCAGATCCGTAGAGTCGGATAAAATATGAGAGTAGAGACAATCAATTGAGGGGCCGTAAAAGACGTGGAGATGATAAATATGCAGCGAACTGAATCAGCAGCGAGTCCAGCGAGTGATGAAGTTACTTAGAGCACTTCCGGATTACCCAACTGGGCAAGGCGTCGGGCGGAGTAGAGCTCCAACTCCGCCACATATCTGTCTTTTAACCAACCCTCTATGTACATTGCGCGGACTCAAGTCTGCTCGAACAACATTGACGAACTCCTTCACATCATCTCTGGCAAGCCGAAATCATTGGACTAACATTTTTTCGTTACGCTACCATTCGACCATGGCTTGATCTCCTGAGATTGGATGGCTCGAGACTATGTTTTTACAGTGAAGCTGAAATAAGCTGGCGATGGGTTTCAGGTCAATGATTGACGCAGCAAAGTCTACTTGCAAATCTTTAGGGTTGACTTCAGCGAGCAACCAGATATAGACTGCCTTTGTCCGTGGAATTGATGGCTTACGTGAATCGATTTCGCCTTACAACGTGCTGTCCAAGGTCGTCAATGAAGCTTCAGAAGAGGACTTCGGGCCCTTCAACAATGTGTCAATGCCTCGGTCATTTGTCACGGCTAGAGACTCAAACCAAGTCTGCAGGGCTCACTCTACAACTTTCCGTCTGAGTACAGATGTGAATTGCAACAGCGTGTTACCGTTGCGTTTGGACTTGTCGAGATGGTGTCTGACTCGAAGCTCAGTCGCACCATTTCCAAATCATATCTTCATGCTGCAGAGTAACCAGAAGCAACATACGCGAAATCTTTGTGTCTACGGAATCGGTCCTGCGTTCCTGGGCTATGAATTTGCTGGTGTCCGTCATGACTTTCCGGTCTTTCATCGATTCAGTTATGGTAACTAAGGAGAATTAGCCCAAGGCTTTCAGTCGGCTCGCCCAAGATCTGCAGCGTTCTCTACCTGCAGTCAATGGTATCAAAGCCTTGATCAATCATGGATAGCAATTACCGTCGATTTACTTGGTCTTCCATCGACTTGCCTTCTGTAAGGTCTGATCCACTGAGTGCCTTGAGTGACCATGAAGAGAGAAGTGCAGTCGTAGTGGGTAGAATGGGAGGGGTAACGTAAATAATACGCGAGCCTTGTAGCTCACACTCAAGTGTCATTTGCTGCACATCTGGTAGAACCCAGGTACTCAAGTGTTTGCAAAGAACACCAGTGTGGACCAGGCAACTAACAATCTTTCGGCTTCCCCCGCTCGAACATCAGTCTTCCCCCCGCTACCTCAATTAGGCTATTCTCCCACGCCTTTCCTCTGGTAAACCTTTGATTCACGCCCTAGTCTGACGGATGAATAATGTGAATGCACGACGCGTCTCCGCTCTTTGGCTCCAAAATGACTGTGTAGTTGGTTGTCAACTGGTCTCCCCCACCTCCACCTCCGCCTCCACAGGGCTTTTTCCAAGGACATGAGCTTTCAATTGCAGCCATATATCGCGCCCGCAAGGCCCTCTTGCAGCGCGGAAATGATGACAGGCTCATGGACAGCTGCGATGGAGATGATGTGGGCCTCGCGTTCCACATTTACAGATGATGCACTGGCCAATCTGGACTTCTGACCGAAAGACGCAGTGCAGTGACTAGCTTCCCATATGAGTGAGCTGTACCCCGAAATAAACGTGTTTCTTTCTGGACTCGCTCTTACTCTTAGTTTTACGAAAGAGAATAACGGACGTTATTATCGACCGGGGATTACCAGCCCACTTTGTCCATTATGCTTTACGCTGAAGACGATAAGCTCATCTACCGATTTGATGACCACATTCTTTGGATCCAGCCATGGAGCGAGAATGCTTTTCGTATAAGAGCCACAAAACTGGCGTCTATGCCCTCTGAAGATTGGGCACTCTCCGCAAAGCCGAGCACACAGCAGCCGATCATTGAAACACCCGCCGGCAAAGAGGCCAGCATTTCCAATGGCAAAATCAAGGCGGTTGTCTCCCAGCGAGGCAAGATCACAATCTACAACTCCAACGGTAAAAAGCTCCTGGAAGAATATGCCCGTCATCGCCGCGATCCAATGGACCCGAAATGCAGCGCCCTCGAGATTGAAGCGCGCGAGCTCCGACCAATCCTGGGAGGAGATTACCATCTCACGATGCGATTGGAGTCGCTAGACCCCAAGGAGAAGATCTACGGTATGGGCCAGTATCAGCAGCCGTATCTGAATCTCAAGGGAGTCGACTTGGAGTTGGGACACCGGAATTCCCAAGCTAGTATTCCGTTTGCTCTCTCTTCTCTTGGGTATGGTCTTTTGTGGAACAATCCCGGGATCGGACGAGCCGTGCTCGGGACAAACATCATAAGCTTTGAGGCCTATTCGACAAAGGTCCTCGACTACTGGGTCATTGCGGGTGATACGCCGGCGGAGATCGAAGAAGGATATTGCAAAGTGACAGGTTATGTCCCGATGATGCCAGAGTATGGTCTGGGATTCTGGCAGTGCAAGCTCCGCTATTGGAACCAGGAGCAGTTGCTCAACGTCGCGCGAGAGTATAAACGACGCAATGTTCCTTTGGATGTTATTGTAGTTGACTTCTTCCACTGGAAGCACCAAGGAGAGTGGAGTTTTGATCCCAAATTCTGGCCGGATCCAGGTGAGTCTATTCCAGCCACATGATATGCATGGGTGATTGCTGATAGGGCTGCGACCACAGATGCGATGGTGAAAGAACTCAAGGACATGAATGTGGAGCTCATGGTCTCCATCTGGCCCACGGTCGAGAACCTCTCCGAGAACTACCCGGAGATGCTCGAACGCGGTCTGCTGATTAGACATGACCGCGGCCTTCGAGTAGCTATGCAATGTGATGGAGACGTCACGCATTTCGACGCGACGAACCCCGAGGCTCGCAAATACATCTGGGAAAAGGCGAAGAAAAACTACTACGACAAAGGGATCAAGATCTTCTGGCTTGACGAAGCCGAGCCTGAATACTCGATCTACGACTTTGACATTTACCGCTACCAGGCTGGCAGCAACCTACAGATCGGCAACATCTTTCCCCGGGAATATGCGCGGGCGTTCTACGATGGTATGGAGGCCGAGGGTCAGAAGAACATCGTGAACCTGCTCCGGTGCGCTTGGGCCGGCAGCCAAAAGTATGGTGCTCTCGTCTGGAGCGGCGACATCGCGTCGTCGTGGGGTTCCTTCCGCAACCAGCTGGCCGCGGGCCTGAACATGGGCCTCGCAGGGATCCCGTGGTGGACGACGGATATCGGGGCTTCCACGGGGGCAACCCTGCCGATCCTGCGTTCCGGGAACTCTTCACACGGTGGTTCCAATGGGGTACGTTCTGTCCCGTGATGCGTCTGCACGGTGACCGGGAGCCCAAGCCTGAAGGCCAGCCAACGGCTCCGGGCGCCGACAATGAGATCTGGTCCTATGGCGAGAAGGTGTATGAGATCTGCAAGAAATACATCGACATTCGAGAGGAGCTGCGGGACTACACCAGGAGTCTGATGAAAGAGGCGCATGAGAAGGGCACGCCGGTCATTCGGACTCTATTCTATGAGTTCCCGGAGGACAAGAAGTCTTGGGAGGTTGAGACGCAGTATCTGTTTGGGTCCAAGTATCTTGTTGCGCCAGTCCTTGAGGCCGGACAGCGAAAGATCACGGTGTATCTACCCGCAGGAGCTTCCTGGAAGCTATGGGGGGAGGAAACGGAGCGTCCTGGAGGGCAGGATGTTGAGGTTGCATGTCCCATTGAGACGATGCCGGTCTTTGTCAGGGTATAGGCAGTGACGTATACCAGCCATTGGCGCATCTATCACCACGCTGCTACATCTTGACAAGGCCACCCACTGATGAGAATCAGTATTTCAACAAGAAACGCAGATAAAAAGAAATAAAAAAACATACAAGAAGAAATATAACCTGTCCGAACTATTCTCGCTATAACAGGCTTTTACTATAATTAAAACCATTCATTATAGTATTACAGGGTCCAAGCTGTTTTATAAGCGCCTACAGGAGATACCCCCGCCTAGTACTTAATGTGCAAAATGGCTAGTTGCCTAGCCAGTCTGTATATTTTTTTCTGCCCTCCTGCGCAGGGGGTGGTAAGGGTCTAGATGATGAACATGGATGGTGCCTGATGTAGCTATATAGTTAAGCTCAACTTTAGCTGGTAGGAGCCCTGATTCCTGATATAGAACAGGCAAGGGGTTGTGTAGTAGACAGGGAGAATTGCCCTAGCACCTGTCTATATGACCTTAGCTATCTTATTAAGTTGCCCCTGGACCTGGTTTGAGATAGAGCCTGCATGGGGGCAGGGGCGCGAGCGACCTGGCCACCAGGTCTCTGCGCTAAAGTAGGCTTTCTGGAGCACACAGGCTATCACAGCCTGCTGCATGAGATAGAGCTTGATTCCCCGGACTGTGTTCCCGAGGCCACGGAGGGCATTAGCAACTGTTAGGGCCTTTAAGGATGCCTCTCTGACATGGTACTTAAAGCTGAGCTTCTTGTTAAAGAGGACCCCTAGCCAACGTAGGTAAGGGCAAGTTGTATTCTTAGTGACTGTGACGCTTCCATAGGCACCGAACAAGCTAAATAAGAGGAAGCTTAGCAAGCTAACAAACTTGGGCGCCGTAGCTTGGCTTCACAATTTTCCCCTGAAACAACCCACTCCTCAAGCCGACATAGCCCTGAATATAAAATCAGATTCTGCGCGAAGTGATCGTGCCCCTTTTTCTTTGGGTGTGATTTATTCAAACTGTCCAGATTTATTCCTCCAAGACACAGGCACGGGCAATTCTATAAGCATAAAAACAGCACGACCGAAATGACGCGACCGGTCCGGCACTGGCCGGGTGGCATAGCCCGCAGCATCAAACGGCACCCCGAGGATGACCTGTCCCTTGATCAGATGAAGGAGGAGGTCAAGGGGTGACTGCTCTTTGTCCAAGAGAATTGGGTTCGTCGTTCCGAGGCGGAAGACGATGGGGATTATGAATTGCGCCAACGGCGGAAGCTCGTCGAGCAATGGGCCTCGGCAACACAGGAGTTCCGGGATGTATGCAGACCATCTGCTGATGACAACTTAACTTCTGCTTATCTGGCAATGTAGAGTTTTCATAATCGCGCACCCATTGGCCTTCCCGGAACAGAGAGCGATAGTGAGGTCCTGGGAGGGTTGCGATACCCGGCCGAGGCCCTAGAGCGCATAAACGACACCCAACAGCCCTGCGACCTAAGAGGTATCATTTCACTCGTACCAGTGAATTCCACGAACCCTATCAAATCGAGCGCGATGGATGAAATTCGTCATTCTGCTCTATGGGTACGGTATGGAGATCACTCACTGTCTACAAACTCACTACATGCCCTCAGAAGCTGTGCCAAACCCAGCCACCACGAGAGGTAATGGTAACCTTTCCATTCAAGATTTTCCTGCCTGGCTGTATCTCGAAACTGCCCTTTTCGGCTCAATATACCTCACCCGCACCGGGACAATTCTGTATCTTGGGCACACAGGCCCATTTGCGCTTGTTGATGAGGAGGGGCTACGAACAGGCCGACTTTCCCTGACTGCATTTAGGACTAATGGTGACGTCGAGGACTCTGTTCTCATTCGGCCTTTCAATATGCACAAGCCTTACCTGCAATATGGTACGCTTGGAAAAGGACTAGACGATGCAAAGGGCGCTGAGGGGGCATTCACACCTCAGAACCAATCGTGAGTTTACCTAATTCTGGTTTTTCCTGTAGAAGTATACTAACAAACGATCTATCTGTCTAGGCTCAATATGGATTTACCTATTCTCGACATCCTGTGCAATGCCCAAGCGGCGAACGAACTAGTGAGATGGTCTTGGGCGATCGCGATCAATGGAAAGAGGACGTTGAACGATACACACCCGGATTCTTGGCCCTTGAAGCAATCGGCAGGGGTGCAGAGTACGATCTGAATCTTCTGACGCCTGGCGGTGACCTTGGAGGTGGTGTGAAACGAAGAATGCTCAGGAAAATGGCGTCTGGTGTGGACCCGCGCTTTAGAGTTCTTCCTGGGTTGCGCTTCTAGAATATATAATTGTAAACACGCGTATTATGGGCATGGAGACGCCATTTAACCCGGCAGTAGGATATGTATAAGTCAAACGTGACTTCTCCCTCGTCGCTATTTGCTTCTATATTATCCTTCACCGGAGGTATAGTTCAGACATGTGGCCATTTCCACCACAGATAACGACAGTGGGAAAAATGTACTCAACCTATGTATTAAATGAATCATATTAACCAGTGTGGAGAGAAGCCATAAATCGTATACATCATTAACTAACATCACTCCTCAATAATCCCTTCTCCCTCAGCACATCCCTTACAGTCTCCTCGAGATTCTCCTCTGGCAGACCAAGGACACCATTCTACTTCTCTGCCTGGTCCCTGAACCCTAAAAACCCCTTAGCCCATATGCCACCGCCGTCACCACCTCTAGATATCCACGCTTATAGTCTCCCTGCTTAAGATGATCTACTCCAGCCGGCATAATGTCCTCTGTTATCAAATGTCTAACCTTAAACTTTGTCCCAGACCACTGCTAAATCAACCTAGGAGCTGATTCTGCCTTACCTGAAATAACTTTATATATACATATGCATTCCTCGCCTCCTCCTCATGCTGAAGAACAGAGATGATCACCCTCATCACCTGCCTAAGCGTACTCATGACAAACGGCTGATTACACAAATCAAAAACACTTACCCAGTGTACAGAGAGATCCCAGCCTATTGCTGCATTTTCAAGCTCAAGTAACTGCATAATTGTCAGCGTCAGAACTCTCCATGCTAGTGCAGGGACAGGGACAGAGGACATACCTAATCAACAAACAACCCCGTATAAATCGCCATCTAGGTAATATCCTCCTTTGAATCCAGGTACTGCACAATCTCACACTTTGCCTGGGGAATCACGCAAAGCTGACTCCCCCCAGCTGTGACGTGTCGCCTCTGTACTTGCTGGGAATGAACTGCCTGACGCTGGGCATGGTAGCCGCGGTGTTGATGGCTGTGCGCTGGATGGCGGCGTTGAAGGTGCCTATGGCTGAGATTATGGCGTGCTGGCCTTGGAATGCGGTGGTTAGGGCTGCAAGGTTGTTGTAGTTGGTGTGGTGGATAGTCACAGAGGCTGAGAAGGTAGCGCTGGATGAGGGGCGGAGGACTACAGAGATGGTGAAGTTGGAGGCGAGGAGAGCGTTGACTAGGAGGGTTCCGACGGCTCCGGAGGCCTGACGGTCTAATTGTTAGTATGGTGGGATGAAGTTAGGCTATGGGGGGTGGATGTACCCCGAGAACAGTGATGTTCTGGATAGGAAACATGTTACTGAGATGCTAATGGATTTGCCTTTGCCTTTGGCTTCAGTTTAGAGAACCATTTGCCAGGAAGGTACGGTATCTTTATTGTCTGCTATATACGAAGTATAAGAAAGTACATCTACTGAATACAAAAGGTAGGCGATGCTGACAAATTACCTCGTATTCGAGTCCATTAATAATATGGAGAGGCTTTCTGGACATTCCGAAAATGAGGTCGTCGAGGTCAGCCGCTTACTCTGTATCTAGATCATCCCGATGTCTCCTTTCATCTGTGGTCAAGTGGCAGTGGAAAATTCCAGATGTCCTGACATATAGTACCCTCCGGCTGAGCTTAATGTACAGGGTCCATCATCTAAATACTCTAACTACATACAAGCTAAACCCACATTCTTATTCGAAGTTACTTGAGCTTAAATCTATGGCTCGAACGCCACAAGAATACTAAACAGACGTCGAAAAAAGGCTGTCGTCCGCAGCTATCTGCCCTATGAGCTACGGTCCGCATATAAGCATACAGCACGTCTATTGCAGATCACAACGCCAACAAGATATTATCTGCATGACTCTTGAGCAGAATTCGATGAGCATGCAGATTCAAAATGTTACCGCCGGTTCTAAGGTAAGGGAGCATGGATGATCCATGCAATATATAGAACTATAGATTAGGGCATAGCATCTGACAGCTGACTCTGACTTGTTACATACAACCCTGGCATGCCTTTTGAATCTGCTGATCATACTCGGCGCCTAGATTGCACTATGCAATCATAAGCAGTATCATGCTGTTTAAAGTACAATCATAGATATAAAAAATGATAGAAAAGCTACCAGTCAGACGTGACTGGGAAAAAGGCCAAAAAGAAAACAAAAGCCGAACGCGGGGTCGAACCCGCAACCTTGAGATTAAGTCTCACGCTCTACCGATTGAGCCTACTTGTCATACGGAGTACTGTTGTCAATCGAGAAGCCAGGAGCGGGTATAGAATATCCTGGTTTATGAAGCGACTATTGTGGGCACAGAGAATGCGTAACGTAGGATTCAACAGTGCACCATGTACAGTCTCGAATATTAAGTAGAGGGAAGAGAAATTAGGTAGGGATGTTTTTGCGATGTAGATAGAGTGCTAGATGAGGGCACGTCAGCAGGAACACTGGGTGAGCAGTATTGAGGTTCAGGCGATTCAGGTGAGATTCAGGTGAGCCGAGTGAAGAGGGTGAAGAGAGGGCAGCGAGGGCGCTAAACCCAACGAATAAAAAGAATGCAAAAAAAGGGAAAAAACATACAACAGCCGGGATTCGCTGGTGGTCACCCACCCAACTACTAACCGGCCGGCGTGTGGCTTAAGTACGGCTGAGCGGACGGGAAGCCCTGTTTTCCACACCCTATGGTCGTATGTACTAGAAGCAGGATCAAATATGGTATATATAGTCTGAAAACAAGGGCTAACTTATATAGTATGGCTGTTCCTGCATAGGTCATGGCATTCGTCGATTCTTGTGGAGCTCCTTTGCTGAAGGTTTAGGCCACCATACAGAGATTGAAGAATACTTGGGAAGTTTTGTATTAGGTACTCGCAGTTAATCTGATGATAAGGTTGAATAAAGCCATTCGGGCCAGTTACATGCCAGTGAACAATGGCTTCTAGATTGTTGTCCTTACCAAAGGAGCATTGTAGACATGGGCTGCAAATTTTGCTGGTAACTCAGGGCGCAGAGTACATGACCCTGATTCTGAATAGATTAGTGTTCACAGTGGTATATTATTAGCTGCAGTTATAGTGCATAGTTAAGTGTCATGTAGTAAGACGAGGCTTAGCAAGATTAAGGCTAGCGCTGAGGGATATGAAGCACCTTTGATCTCCTTCCCTTTAAGCAAGTAGATCATGCCAGGGCTCTTTTTGAGCTTCAGGGTCTAGATTCATAAACTAATCTTATAGATACTACGTACTGTGGTCTGGCAGTTTACCCCTAACATCTACCATTCCTTATAAGTATGTAGCGGGTAAGGCCTGCTGGGTGCTTGAGCTTACCAGCACTTGCGACCTGCCTTAGGCATCAATGAACTCCAGTCCAAATCAGACATTAGCTTGTGGTCATATAATAATATACTAATTAATGTAGTAAGCTTATATTATATAACTTTAGATATCCAACTTCACGTTTCAATAAAATCATCTATATCAATCAAGAGCTAGCAGCAAGCTCGCTTAGAATCTCATCAGCCGCCTTCTCAGCTACCATGTAGGTAGACACAGCCGTGAAAGTACCCGGGATCTTGGGGTAAACGGAAGCATCAACGACACGGAGACCAGAAACGCCACGGACACGGAACTTGGAATCCAACACGGCCATGGGGTCGTCGTCAGCACCGATGGGACAAGTGCAAGAGGCGTGGTGGCCCCACGCGGCGTCCTTGACGTAGTTCTTGATGTCTTCCTTGGAAGTGACGGCAGCACCAGGGAGAACCTCGGTGACATTGACGAGTTGGCGCTTGAAGGCGTCACGGGCAAGCTCGATGGCTTCGTAGAGGGCAGTGAGATCGGCATCATAGTCGCCAACACCGGTGTCGAAGTAGTTGAAAGTAATTTTGGGGACGTCGAGGGGATTGGCGGACTGCAGGGCCACGGTACCGGCGGTGTTGCGGGGGTGAGCCTTCAGGATAGCCCAGGTGAACCAGTTGTGTTCATCGGTGGCGTTGATGCTGTAGTCGGGGAAGTAGCCACGGAAGTTGACCGGGCCACCGAAGCAGAAGATGTCGAAGCTATCATCGGCAGTCACGGAGCTCTTGTACAGCATAGTTGCAGCGAGACCGGGGGACGAGTAAATACCGCGGTCACCGAGGATAGGAGTCTCCCATCGGTTAATGCAGGGGTCAGCCTCATCGTGGATGCTAAAGGTGCAGCCGTTCAAGCAGGAGAAGTCCTCCTCGAGCTTGCCCTGTACGGAGATTTCGTAGTGGTCCTGGAGGTTGGTACCGACACCGGGGAGATCCTTGATGACCTTGATACCAAACTTGTTCAGCTCGTCCGCGGGACCGATGCCACTCAGCTTGAGGATTTGGGGCGAGTTGTAAACACCGCCGGCAACGATAACCTCACGGGAAGCAGTAGCGGAGCCAGGAATACCAGCAGAGGCGGTCTTTGACAAGGGGCTAGCCTTGTAAAGATGCTGGCCATCGAGGAACTCGACACCAGTAGCACGAGGCGGGTCAACAGTCTCATCGAAAGTCACCTTGGTAACATGGGTGTTCAAGCGAACATCAAGAGGGTACTTCTTGGTGCCATCGGTGTTCTTAGCATCCCGCACGGCGATAATGAATTCACGAGCACCATTACGGTGAGCGTCATCGGTCGAGATGGGGATTTGATAGTAGCCAGAAACGGTATCACGGGTAGTCGTATCAGCATTAGCATCGCCAGCCAGCAGGGTGGCAATGTTGATGACATTGTTAGTTAGGTTACCAAGAGCAAAGGCACCACCGGTAAGCATGCTGAGAAGTTGTGGGTCCTCGAGGACAATGCTCAGGGGAGCAGTCTCGGTCTGGAGCCATCCATCGTAACCATGACCCTCCATTCCGGGGAGCAGGTAGTGGTTCCTCTCCAGTTTGGCAAAGTACTTGCGCATATTGTCAGGCGACCAAGAGCTGTCGCCAGTCAAGGTTGAGATGTATTCAAAGTCGGATTGGTGGGGGTAGACAGCAATCAAAGCATTGTGGGCAGTACATCCTCCGAGGGTACCTAAAGTGACAATACATTAGGATCTTTAGAACTGTTTTCCAAATTGAAAGTATCTTGCATACCAGTACGAGGGTAGAGTGTTCCCATCAGTGTCGAGCCTTCAGGAGGGTTCAGACCAGTATATAGTTCGCCACTGGGCGTTTTGTAGGTAGTCTTGAAATCACGAGCTTGGCGCTCATCATCGGCATAGTGGTGAACGAAGAAGTTCCATGCGAGCTTCTCATCTTCAGAGGCTCTGGCCGAGTAGGCAGGGATGGTATAGTTGAAGGTTTCACCCTGGTCATCACCGGCTTCAAGCAGCAGAGTCTTGTGGCCAGCCAGAGCGAGGCGAGCTGCCAGTGGACCACCACCAGCACCGGAACCAACCACGACATACTCGTAACCGGTGATATTGACGGCCTTGGCGACGCCAGCAGTGGCGGCCAATAGGCCAAAAAGACGAGGAATAATCATCTTCAAGATAAGGAATGGCTATGAGTGAGTGGTGAATCTAACGTGCCGGGATTCCATCCAAGCTTATATATCATGGTGGAATTTGTTTCACCCCTGAAATACCATAGTCCTGATACTCCATTCTGGCATTCCCTCAATTATCCACTTTCACTAAACGCCGTTGAAATCCGTTGAAGTTGTTATGCCGCGGCTGTGGGGAGACTCTCGCTCATGGACTTGTGGATAGGGTCCGCCCGCCGACAGCTCGCGTCTAGCCCGTTTCAAGCAGCAATCCCGGAACCATCGTCAATAAGTTTAATTTGTACTCTGCAGAGCTCACCTGCCATCCCTGTTGATCTTCAACGGGGATCCACATCAGGCGTCGGTGATTGGTCGATTCGAGACCAGAGTAGGATCCGAGCACTCTCTATGGGCTGGCGGACCTGCTACACCGGGTTGGCCACTGGGTGGTATCGAGGGAGTTTGCGGAGCACTTGAGTTTCTTGCTCAAGGCGACGAGAAGGAAGGTGCTAGGGAGTCGGTAACACCTTCAGGACCCTAAGCCCCAGGCCCCGGGCCCCTTTGCGATTGCACAGGATGTAATCTCCCCATAGGTTCAATGATAGACTTAGGCCGTCCGATGCCCGATTGTTCAGCGGTCTTGAATTTCATCGACTGGCTGTGAGTGGGAATTTTTCCCATGCGGGCACGCTATCCTGTATCGAAACTAGAGCCTGGTCAACCGCGTGAAAATATTGACCAGTATGGAGTCAACAAGCTGACAGGTCAGTTGTGCCAAGAGGTTGCGGACAAGGTTTTTTCAGGGGCGAATCCTGCTGGCCAGATCCACTCATTCTTGAATTGGAAAGAGTCATTGACTACGCTAACTATCTTCTCTCTCAGTTGATTCAGGTCTTGCTTTTTAGGGGATTCATGGCCCCTGAGTTGGAACAATCAACACAGCATGTAAGAAATCATCTGGCGAATCTCACAAGAGCCTTGATTCTCGACCATACAACAAAATCACTAGTTCCTTGGAGTCCTTCCACCGTCACAGATGCCCGGGACGCAATAGTTACTATCCTCGAACATAGCCAGCAATTCTTCCTGCCACCAATCCTTACCATCTCTAATCCTTATCACCTCAAATCCTTATCACCTCAAATCCGGACCACCTTACCACCTCCAATCCTTACCACCTTCAATCCTTGCTGTCGGAACGTATTTACTCTTGCCACTATGGCCATGCCAATCATTGGCATTGCCTGTGGCCTGAGTATGCGCGCAGCGCTACTCATGTATTAGGACTAGCAACTGATGACATAATCTCACGCTTATCAGCGTCTGGGATTCAGGGGCATCCTGAACCGACGCTGATATGAAGAGAACATCGAACATCTATCTACATGAATCAATTGACTTTTGCTTTATGAGCATACACCCTGTCCACTTAACTGTGTACACAGTACCTAGCTGGTGATACCAACAATTTGTACAACAGGGCCTATATGCAATATTATTTAGCTGCTCTAATTCTCCCCTGCAGGGCCGAAGGGTAGCCCCATCAGCCCTAGCCCTGAGCCCTTCCCCTGTGTCCTTGCTTCCTAGCCCAGCAAACTATGTACAGACTACCTATCGTGGAAGGTTATACCGGAGTTAAATGCTGTGCCGAGCGCAGGGCCATCACAATTCCCTTATATCTGCACAATCTTCTGTATTTCCTAGCCGCTTAAGTAGCAGTGCATTCTCCCTTGCATTATTTGCATTTGCTTAGCGATGCTGACTAGCCATGGTCCTTTCGGAGGTTGATGAGCATAAAGTATTTTGTACCTTTTGGACCTTTTTTTGGGTGGACTAGCTCGGAAAGGCAGTCCAACTTCCCAGTATCTCAGAATTATAAGATCCGAAATTCGCCCAGGACCGCTCAATATCATCAGTGACTCAACGATATCTTTCCTTGCGTGGCAGATGCTGAAGGTAATCCATCATGATGCTCCGAATACTTTACATTTTGGTGGCCTTTCTAAGCTGCTCGCGCGTTCGTGCTGCTGCTGTCTTTGCCCATTTTATGGTACGATATTCCATTCCATCGTCATGCCATGAACCGGGAGCAATTATTGTTCTGGTTTTATCTGACCTTATATCTAGGTTGGCAATACTGAGAACTTCACCGTGGATGATTGCACACATAATATGCAGCTGGCCCTTGATGCGCACATTGATGCATTTGCTCTGAATATGGCTTCAGGCTGGTATTACAATCTTCAAGCAGTTGCCAATGCATTTGCAGCAGCGCGTACCCTTAATTCAAAGTTCAAGCTGTTCTTCTCCTTTGACTAAGCTGGTAATGGCTCCTGGCCTGAAGCAGAAGTCATCTCAATGATACACGAGTTTGGAGCCCTTGACGCTTACTATAAATATCATGGGAAGCCCTTTGCATCGACCTTTGAGGGCCCAGGAAATGCCAAGGACTGGATCAACATTAAAGCCCAGACAGAGTGCTTTTTTATGCCAGATTTGTCGTCAGTTGAGGCAGGCCCTGCTATGGAGTTGGCAGGAGGGGCCACAGACGGTCTTTTCAGTGAGTTTGTCACTTTTCAATTAGGACTATGCACCTTTGAAAAGAACATCTATAGGATAAGACTAGCTGGCTATCTATAAGGCTGGGTCACCTGGCCGTGGGGAAACCTGAACATGACAACCTATGTTGATGCTTCCTATAACCAGACGCTGACCGCTGCTGGAAAACCATACATGATGCCCGTCTCGCCCTGGTTCTACACTAACATGCCCGGCTATAACAAGAACTGGCTGTGGCGGGGTGATGACTTATGGTATTAATGCTGGATGCAAGTCTAGTATCTCTAACCTGAGTTTGTGGAGATCATCTCTTGGAATGATTTTGGAGAGTCTCATTATATTAGACCCTTGGACAACAGGCAATACTCCCCATTTAAGACTGGTGAAGGACCATTCAATTATGCTAATAATATGCCCTATAACAGCTGGCGTGAAATGCTCCCTTATGCTATTGACATATATAAGAATAGGATTGCAGAGTTTGAAGCAGAGAAGATGATTATCTAGTACTGCAATAGTCTAGCTAATGACTGCGACGTAGGCAATACCACCGGCAATACTGCTCAGCAAATACAGATTGAATTCCCTCCAAACCAGGTAATGCAGGACCGGGTTTTTGTCACTGCTCTGCTTTGAGAATATGGACAAATATTGGTGATTGGTCAAAATAAGCATCTGAGCTGGGACTTTATCCCTGAAAATGGAACCAGCCTGTACCATACCAGCTTCCCTTTAACCCATGCTTCCAATTTTCAGCTTGCTCTTGTGCGAGATGAGGTGGAAAATCTTTGATCTTGTGACTGGCTCAGGAGTGTCCGCTACCAATTGTGACAAAGGCCTCACAAACTGGAATGCATTTGTGGACTCAGTCACCACTGCAGCGTTTGGAGTCACTGCCAAAGCCCCACACACACTCCAAGAGCAACGTTGTGTCCAGGGTTACGGGGCAGGTAATTTTAATGGACTCTGCCAATTTACTTGCAAGTACGGATATGTAAGTCTCCCTCATCTATTCAAACAACGCACCCCGGCGCTCATTCAAGTCATCATATTAGTGCCCGGTTGGAGTGTCTGTCTGTACTGGTATGGGCACACCGGAACACCTACCAAGGCCAACTGGTGTGCAGGGCTACCCAGCAAATGGTGACGCCAATTATGGAGGCCTCTGCAGTTTTGCTTGCAACTATGGCTACTGCCCAGACAATGCGTGCAGTACGACTAAACAGCCGCCTTACGTTCCTACTTCGTCTCCCTTTCTTCCCCCAGCCTGCACGGCAGGCACCGGTACAGGCAGCCTGACGGGCCTCTGCAGCTACGCCTGCAACTTTGGCTTCTGCCCGATGCATGCTTGCTCATGTACCGCGCAGGGCGCCCTAGTGCAGCCTCCAGCTCAAACTAACAAATCTGGTTTCTCTCTGGTCGGCGAGGACAGCGGCCTCTGCTCCTTCACTTGTACCCGCAACTACTGCCCCTACCCGACTTGCACGCCGAATAGGTGGCCCCATCCGCACAACTTGATTGCATACGGAGACTCGTATGCGGCTGGGATTGGAGCCCATTGTGGCTGGATTAGCGATGAGTTCGACAACGGCGAGCAAGGGTGGGACTGTCGTCGGTGCGAAGGGGCTTACCCGTATCAGCTCCTGAGCGCCGGAGACCAGATGAAAGGTACGACCCTGCGCTTTCCTGCGTGCACCGGGGCAGTCATTGCGGATCTGGAGACTGCCATTTCCGGCCGTGAAGCGCAGTTGCGCATGATAATGGACAAGCAATACTACGCGAGCAGTGGCTGGGCGACCATCTCAATCGGGGCAACGATCTCGGCTTCAGCGATATCGCGTGGTATTGCCTGTACTGGTGGGATGAAGACAAATGCACCAGTGCTATGGCTAATGCAGCGACGAAACTCCGGTCGAACGCTTTCCGCCTGCAATTATCCACCCTATATGACAATATATTTTTGGACGCGCTTTCTCAGAGGACCACCGCGGACGGGTTCTTACTCGTCGTGACTGGCTACATACAATTCTTCTACAACGAGGATAGGGCCTGCGATCATTCGTACTTCTGGCGAGGTTCATATCTGACCCAAGAGCTCCGACAACAAATGAACTCGTTAGTGGTGACACTTAACAACGTAATCCAGGCCGCCGTCACAGAGGCTCAGGCGGAATGGGGCAATCCCGGATGGTCAGTCATTTATTTCGATGCAGACTCTGAGTTTGAAGGTCACTGGTTCTGCCAGCCCGGATATGACTATCGCAATTCGTGGTTTCTCGTCCCCTGGGGAGCAGACGCCCTAGATGATGGCACAGTCATCCCGATGACGCAGCCTGCGTCAACTGAAAAGGGGGTGATAGACCTGACGACCTACTGGAAAACATGCCAGGCAACGGGCTCAGATCCGTGGATTGACCTTATCTGTGAATACTCTATCGCCATGCACAACGGGACTCTTCCTGACTTTGGCGCATCTGGCCTTTACGGACCCTCCCCTGGTACTACTATAATGGCACCGCCGGAGGCTCAAAAGGCCATGCACCCAAAAACAATAGGTCACAATGCCATTTCAAAGGGTATCTATGACCTTCTTAGTACATTTCTCCCTGATGTCTGTAAGAGGCGATGAATGGAATGCTTGAAGTATAGTTTATAATAACCATGTATACAGCATGAGAGACTTGGCAAACAATCTTGTTAAAGGAAAGAATTTCAATAATCATCAGGTTTTTGAGAAGTGTACTTTCTCATCCACTCAATCACAGTGCGATACCAAAGTAAATTATTTTCTGGATTTACAATCGGATCCCCTTCATCTGGAAATACCAGGAGCGCACTATCCATGCCTCTAAGCTGGAGGACATTAAAAGCAGCTAATCCATCAGTAATAACCCTTTTGTAATTCAACTCACAATGGATGACCAAATGGGGAGTTTGCCAGCTCGCAGTAAATTGTGCTGGATCCCATTTCCTCCACTCACCCGGTGTTTCCCAAATAGGACCTCCAATTTCATTGATAAAATGTTGCCGATTGCTGGCTAACTGGGAGGTCATACTAAAAATCCCATCATGTGTCACAAGGGCCTTAAATTTACGACCAAGCTCGTGGCCTTGGATCCAGTTGACCATGTATCCTCCATACCCGGCACCAACCGCGACGGAGCGAGCAGTGTCAATGTATTGGAGGCTCTCATTTTGTTGCAGATATTCAAAGCATCCCTCAAGATCGGTATAAGGCAGCCCGCCCCAGGAATATTGGCTAGAATCTTTGAAAGCTTGCCCAAAGCCAGAGCTGCCTGCTGGATTGGGCGCAACAACAACAAAGCCATGCTCTGCAAATAATGCTAGATTCCATTGGACACTCCACTGGTTGTTCCACGCACTATGAGGGCCGCCATGGATGAAGAATGCCAAGGGGTATCGTTGCTGTGGGTCGAACTTGGATGGTTTGATCACCCAGGCATGGATTCTGCGATTCCCCGTGCTATCGAACCAAATAGAACTGACTTGTGCCTTAGAGAGCCCCAGATCCATTGTGCGACTTGCAGACAATACCTTTGGAGACTCGGTCGGAGCGGCTAGGTTAAAAATATTCCACGTGGGGGTCTCAACTAGGCTGCTCTGAGTGATCAGGATTTTCGATGAGTCCGATCGCACCGGTGTTACATGCGTAATAGATCCAAAACCCCAAGGATCAACCAGACTCAACGCCGCAGGACGCAATCTCACGAAGTCACGAAGTCCAAGATGATACAGCATCATCCGCCCATTCTGCTCAGCCTGGATAAGAAGCGTACCGTTGTATCCAAACGAGATGGCGCATGGGCTAAGATCCCATAGCCCATTGCCATCAGCAGATGCGAATATCTCATACACATTTTCGAATAATGGAAGCGGTATGTACATGATGCGATATTTGTCGGCTGCGTGTCCATCTCTCTTCTGGGATGTGAAGGCTATTGGTTGATTTTCATCTGACTTGTCCACTGCAACTGATGATATTGATCCTCCTAATCCCCGATACCGTCTTGCTGGATAGATAGGGTCTCTATTCTGCTGATCCCACTGTTCTATGGGTTGGACATAGCATGAGCATGCTGTATGAGTAGCATTGTTGACTTCCCTGTCCCTAGCAATAAATACCATAGCAAAGGAGCAGATTTCAAATTCTTGTAAGCTCTCTTCCCCTCCCAGAGGTGACATGGGCGATTCTAACCCCCCTAGTCCCGCAAATATCATTAGATTGGAAATGCCTGAGATACTATACTGACTCCCTGCCTCGGGTCCTCTTTGAAGATACCCATACCAGATGGAGTTCCTTAATTCGCTTGCATACGAGCATTCATCCCTGACAGGAAGGGTAGAGTAGAGTCGGCCAGTGCTATGGCTAGTGGATTCCGCAATCTGCCTTGGGTTCACCAGAGATCCATCTGGATTCGCCCTGCCACTGATCGCAAACGCAAGTTCATTATCGTCGTCCTCTCGAAACGGCAGTTGCCCGGTCACCTTAAGGTCAAAGGCTTGGCCAGGGACTGTGCCCGCTTTATAGATCTTAGTGGTAGTGCACTGTGCGTCACTGACCATCAAGTCAGTGTTGCCGCTTTCCAGCCATTCAAGCCATATAATCTGATTGCTTTTTGATACCCATTGAGGTGATCTGGCATTGGGATTCTCAGTGACATAATATGATTGACTAGTCGAAAGGTCCACAACGCGGATCTCCTTTTTCTCTGTTTGAGAGCGAAAAGAGTATGTGCTTTGAGTATACACTGCAAGAGTGCCTGCGGCATTTGGAGTCGGGTTTGAGCGCCTAGGTAACTCAAGTAAAGTCCTGCAAGAGTTGTTATGTTAAGCGTATTCTAAAGGGAAGTCTGGAAGATAGACCTACTCTGAAATGAGTCTCATCGTGACCATAGCGCGGCAGTTGATGATCTCCTGAGTTTGGGATGATAACATAGAGAGAAATTTGTAAGTCGCTCTAAGGTAAGGTCGATGCTTGCAGAGGTGGCCAGAACGGACCCTTATCAGTAGTTAGGGAAAAGGAACTAAAATGATGAATTGACCCCTCATTTGATTAATCTATGCTAGAAATTTGGATATTCGGGCATGAGGGGATTATGCAGCCAATCATATATCTCTAGCCTGTGACTCCGTAAGCACTACTTTCAAAGAGTAGCTGCCTTTGTTAAATGGAATGGCCCGTTTATTAGGCATAGGTAGTCCTATGTGGGTCTCAGGACTGCTATCGCAGCACCTAATATTGGAGGAATATAAGGTTTCAAATTTGGGTATATCAAGCGTAGAGGAGCGCCACTGTATTATAACTAGATATCAGCATAATACGTCTTTTGCTTCAACCATTTCTACAGTAGTTCTCAAATATATGAGGTATTAAGTCTCGATCTGCTGAGTACTTTAGAGCTCGAACTCCTCCACACCCTTATACTTTACCCGGAGAGTACGCATCTCGTAATGAGCCTCGACTGTCGGCGACCCCTTTATAAAAAGAACAACCTTGCCTGAGTCAACATGAGGGATCTCAAATTTGCAGCTAAGGCCGCCATACAACGTCCCCAAGCAACCCTTTTCCTTTCTATTGTGTCCGCTTTCTTGTTCCTCAGTCAAATGCTCAGGATTGGAGTTACGCTTGTCTTCCTCCTCGAAATCCGGATCTCCCAGAATCAAGTGTACCTTAATCTCGTTTCCAAAGTGTTACTGTCAACGATAACTTCAAACAACATAGAAATGTCAGCACAAGGGAAACTAATGGTATGTACAAGATATAGAATGCTTGATGATAAGGGGCCTCAAAAGTATAGGTTTTTTGCTGAAGCGTTGCTCTGCTGATCGGCAACCTAGACGTTGCATGAGCTTCAAGACCAATAGAAAATGCTATTGCAGAGAAGCCTGGAATTTTATGAGCACTTTATGATAACAATAAACTCCTCAAACAGTCTTACCTAAAAAATTCTTCAAATCGCATTTTTAAAAGAATTACTTCGCGCAAATAACTCTAGAAGCATTCGTGAAGATATGGTGAAGCTGTCGAATGCAGCGTGTTATATTTCAGGGCTTCATCCTCGTCTCTCGAACGGAAGTCAAATGTAAGAAACTCGAGACTGTCCTCATGCCACGGAAGTGCCCGAATGATTGTCGCAGGATTTGAATCTTCCAACAAATATCCTGAAGGGGAACTGTGATGAATGACTCAGGGCGTTTGCAGCTTCAGATTAAAAGTGCAAAAACGGTATACCCCAAGCTGCTGTTCTGTATATTAATGTGACGGAGTAAAAGGCCTCCACTAGCTTGGAGTTCAGATAGAACGCCCGCATGGTATTCTCCATCCTCGCAGTTCCCGAGCGAAAGGGATGATAACTGCCTGAGCCTAAAGATAGAGCTCCGACATTGTAGACTAGTATAGAGAGTCGACCAATACATAGGATGGATCATCCTATAGATAGGCGGGGATATAAAAGATTGAAGACAGCACAAATAGTTTTTATCCAGTAGTGGGCCGTTAAGGAATTTTGTGAATTGTTGAGCCTCAGGTACCTGGAGATGCTGGAGATTTGGGATCCTCTCGAGGAGAAACTTGAACATATCTTGAGCTTCGGCAATATCTGCTTCTGGGGCGCACCGGGCACTTATAGATCTTGATTAGGAAGGGAAGGCTCCATTTGAAGGTGCTGGGAAAAGCTCCTTAAATGCTCCAAGCATCATTCCGGTGATGCGATCCCCCAGTTAAATATTCGAAAAAGCAAAGGACGGCTTAAAGTTCGCATTTTTCTTGAAAGCAAAGATCATACTGAAAGCGACTTTAAGTCATGTCTCTCGAGTATATCAAGCAAAATCTCTGGGAGTAAAGATTCCATTGTAAACTTGATGCTGCACCTATATGAGCTGCGTCCCAGAGCATCTCAGCGGTATCCTGCATCGCGTGCAAAGGGTTCACCGTGCCGTTGACGCCGGCCGCATGGTACGTACGGTTAATAGACTGGGACGGGGGAAGAAGTAGTCAGGTCGAGCTGGATGGCGAAAGTGGTGTCGTAGTCGCAAGTGTACTGCGATAGACATCCAGTATCGTTATAATCGTAGCTTCGAATGTACGGGTTTAAGGTAAACGAGTCATTCAAACCGACAGCGGCATCCATACCATACGACCGCCCGTAGTATGTAAAGTTGGAGTTGTCGCTCTTGGGAAACCGCTGCGGAGATTCAGTCGTATTTATGGCAGTCGAGCCATCGTTGACAAAGTAACTAAACCGATCTGAATGATATGCGCATGAGAAGATACCTAATTCACTGTAGACTCTTGGATCGCCTTGTATCTGATAGGTGTTCCAGTTGTTGTTGTTCCACAGATTTGAGCTTGCGTTCGTCCAACGCGCAGTAGGGATTGAGACCGGTGTCTCGTCGGTCAAGACAGTGAGATTGGGATGATAGTGCCGGCCTAGACAGCAGCTGGAACCAGGGCAACCAAGGTAGTTAAGAGTAGTGCTAGCAGCCTGATTCCTCGCAAGGACCAATTGATTTGGGATGTTGTCACAGAGCTGAAGAAAGCCAGAGTATTAAGAAGCATCGGCCTTTCGGTCAGCCAATTACGCGCCCAAATATTAGCCATAGATCTTCTGACCGTAACCACCAGAGTCAAACCCAAGAGACTAGCCAGAGACTGAACGATTAATCGCGTTGTAGCTTGGTTGGCTGAGGTCTAGTCATACTGTCTGCCCTTGAATGTCCATCTGTCAACCAGGCCTGTGATCAGGAAAAGGCTGATCCCATTGCAAAGAAGCAGAGGTAGAAAGAGTAGCAGCTTTTTGAAGCATAATTCTAGATGTGCATCCAACAAGCGACTACCTTTAGCTTCTCAAGGAGATTCCGAGCTGGAATTTTCTTCTCTTGTGCAACTGTCTTATATGATGACATTTCCTCCAGGTTTCTGGACCGAATTATCTGTCATGAATAATAGGTATAGCTGATGCCCAGGATCAGGGAAGTTTCTGCTTAAATAGGAAACAGCAAAAGAGGTCGTCATCAATTTCTGCTGAAATGCTGGCAATTAGGGGGAACTCAAGGCACTCGAATCGTAGTACTCCGTACGGCCTACGACTGTTCCTCTCTTCCGGAGATTGTAAAGTCATTGCTGGACCAGCTGTAGTGCAGACGATGCTTTGTATTATAAACACTATTGTACTAATAGTTTGCTCAAATTGTACATTAACATCGCCAATATGCCCCATCTCCACTTTTCGTGGACAATTCTCTACGAAGCCTCCTGCAGGGAAACGCCGGAAAACCCTTACGGCATGTCTTTGATGTCATCAATAGTACAACTGAAGCCAAGGTCAAAATCCCCCATAAGCAAGGCTAAGCCGGCGAGAGTGGCGGTGACACAGTCGGTTTTGTTGTAGGGACTTGCGCTGCCCTCGAAGAGCGACACGCACCGTCCTCGCAAGGCATAATGTTTTGCACGAGTCATCGGACAGGTTGTATTGGCCTTTTCTGCTGCATAGTAGCAGCAGTTGGAGGCAGATCGGGTGCACTGCGTGATCCAGCCTATACTGTGCGTGCCGCAGTCTGCTGTTGGATCAAGGTCGACCGCTGCGGCAGGGCAAGGAAGGAAGGCAAGAGCAGAGAGAACGAGCGAGACTTTCATGATGAGGCAGATTCTGTCTGGTAACGAAAGGCGTTCACACAGGGGAGGAGGTGTTCTTTAGTATTCTCGCATAATGCGTCGCATTCTCTTATAGTTGGCTAGAACGGATAACGCGCAGAACAGCTTATGCCGAATCCAGGAAACATACGCGATCCCTGTAGGTGGCTTACATCAGTCTGCATTTGCATCTCGTCCGACCAGTAGATGCTGCGCACCCCTCGTATTTGACGAGGTTGAAAATGTGGTTGTATATTCTACACTTCAACAACATCGAGCTCTACAGCCAAATGCACCGGCGGAGCCCTTTAGGGTTTTCTAATCTAATGCCGAAAAATAATAAGGGGCCAGGTTTGATTTATCTCCATTATGATTGGTTCTCCATAACCTACTAGCCTTATGGGCTCTGGCCACGCTCCTCTGGCCTGGAGGAGGACAAGCGGCGCGTGGTCACATGTGGAAACTATAGCACTAGCCCAATAGCCGGTGGTACAAACAATGATAATATGTCCGGCAGCCTTGGGGTTATGATACAATAGGTCGCATTGCTAGAAAACTGATACTATCCTAATGCTTGTTGACCATACTGTGTGAATTACTTCGCCAATTCATTCTCTTCTCATATTTTGGAACTAACGCCTGAAACTATCAGCACAGTAGAGTATACATTTACATCCTATTCAATTTAAAACCAATACTCATGTACCTTGAATGCATAATTCCATTAAAGTGTCGTGCCCAATCAATATTCAGCCAAATCCTCACCGTCAGTGGCCAAGACATAACTAAGGAGGCACGCGACTCTGACCGGACTGTCTCAGTCAGTGGCAAGAACACCAGTATCTACCCCGGTCATGAGGTTGTCCAGCTCTATATATCTCCTCCAGACAGTATAAAGGCGTGGCGTCCTGTTCGCGAGCTTAACGGGTACACGAAAGTATGGATACTTCCTCAGGACTTAAAAATTAGTGATAATCTCCCTGCGTAAGAAACATGCATTCAGTTACTGGGATAAGGATCCTAAACAATGGCGGTTGAAGCCTGGAACATATCGCCTTCTTATAGGACCTTTTTTTGACTCCCTTTGAGATTGAGCGCCGTTTAATGTGGAGTGGACGGTAGATTCAGCAGCTTTCCTACCTCATGTCTATATATATCCATCGGAGACACTTCATATAATGAGTTGTTTTCGTTCCTTGCCATTCTTGGTCGGTATACAGGGGATCAAGCGTAATTGAGGGTAATTAAGAACATTTACCTTCTACTTACTTTTTGAAAATTCTAAGGACCTTTGGGGATGAAGCCCCCTTGCTATAGCGGCCCTTCCTGGTCAGTTTGAGGCTGTCCGTACACTGGTTAGCTGTGGCGTAAATTTGCTTTCTATTGATTCAAAGGCATGTAGACCTATTGGATATGTTGCCTTGAAGGAACAGCACGCAATTGAGGACTATCTACTGCCTTCACCTATGCCAGAGACATCCATGGAATACGTCCACCAACCGCAAGTGATATGCACATGACAGAAAGGATAGATAATGTATTGAAAATAACTTCCCCGACACCCTGGCAGACTTTCAGTGCGAATCACCTTTCTTGATCCCTCTAGAGATTACAACACAACAACCAGCATATAAGTAAAGCCTAGCTCCATCCTTTGGTATGAGCATCTATGACATCGACTCTCCCCTTGCAGTTGGTGTCTGAGGCATATTCAACGACGAGACGTACCGAAACTGCCTTGGGTATTCTCGTCTCAAAAACTCCTTTCCGGTATCCCATGTCATAAATCGCGGGGTAAGGTCCTTTCCGCAGAGTTTCACTTCCCTGTGAGGACTAAAGTCGAATAAGGATTCCTTACCATTGTCCTCTCTAATCCGGCCAACCGCACTGTAAAAATCCCGATCATCTTTGTTTTTTGCGAGCATCGATGCTTCGTGCTCAAGATGACCAATGCTGAGATAGTACATAAAAATGTGAGGGTTATATCCCCCCTTAAGCCAGGCTTCGTAGCCGGGGTGGTCTTGCTTGTCTAGCAGTGGCTCGTCGCGCAGTTCCCGGATCCAGTTCAATAGAGAGACTTCCTCATCGAGCATTGTGGGGCGGAATGGCAAAGGCAAATTATGTTTCATGCCAACGCCTGATTTAATGTCGTTGGCACCGCACTTCATTGTATGGTAGACAAGAGCACCCTGCATTAGATCCTCAATCATAATCGACAGTGCCATATTGTCTTTCAGATCACGGAGTGGCCTAAGCGCGAAAACACAGGCGTCGGGCACATATGATCGTGCTGGATCTCGTAATGACACTACTAAGACTGTTCCATAGGCGGATAACAATGGTTGGTTGCGTGTGTCCAAGTATCCGTGAGCGAAGGGGGAAATAGTGGCCTCGGATGCCAGGCGGCATCGTTCGCACAGATCGGAATTGTGGCATTCTTCCTCGAGTATGTGCGTTCGCTGTTCTGATATACGCTTCCAGGACTGATCAGTGTGTTTCGGTGGCTTTTCATGCCTTGCAGAGATGACCTCTTCCTCAGTGTATCCTTCACGCAGAGCGGCTTTCAGTTCTTCATTTGAAATAGTGATGTATCTTTTTGGTTTCCATAAATTCCGTTTAAGATATCTCAAGATGAATGTCCTCACTCGGTCCTCGCGAGCATAGCCGAAGCCGAGGACATCAATGGGTGGTGCGAAATCTTCCCTACGTCGGACAGGTAGGGGATAAATAGTAACCAGAGTGCTCGAAATTGCGGCTAAGAGAACTTGCCAGGGAGAGCCTGACCGAAGACACTCAACACACTGCCGGAGAACCTTTTGAGAACAACGCCGTTCGCGTTGATGTAGATTCTCGATGCCCTTGCGACGCACAGAAAACCGTGCGTAAGTCTTCATGATATCGAAGGCTGCTTTAGAAATAGCAAAGCATGAAAGTTGCCTTGTTATCTGCCAAGTGACTGTGAAATACCAGCTACATTCCATGATAACGTAGAAGTCTTCTTCCCGGGCTTCCGGATCTGAACGATCAGTACTGGTCCAAAGTCTTTCGAGAAGCTCAAGGTCAGCCCCTGACATCACAAGAACCTCATCAAACTGTGTGATAAAATTAATAATGTGTCGCGCAGCTTTTTCCGTGTTACGTGGATTGTGGTGCCGCCCCCCAATAACCTGTAGAAAGCTCGGAATAAGTTTTTGTGTCAGATAAAAGCAGTCGAATCGAAAGTCTATTAGAGAGGCAGAGCGGACGGTGCCGAGCTTTGAATTTGGGATCCGGAAATCGAGCATCGCCTGGTGATCGAGTGACATGAGTGGAGGCCCATCTTCGTCCATAGTATCACTTAACTCCTCCATATCGTCGAACACTGTGCTGGGTGGGGCAGGGATCCAACTAGTTGGATCCCTGCGCGTCGAGATAATCTCACTGTCAACAATGCTGATTTGATCAAATGCTTGGCCGGTGACCAAGGATTGTAGCTGTTTCAGAATGGCTGTACGGTAGATATCCCTTGCCCAGTCCATTATGTAGTCAACAATAAGCAAGAGTTGCAACGCGTTGTCTTTGTGCAAGAGCGACCCCGACCAGAGTAGTGTTACATCCTTGTTTGCCGAATTAGTTGTGCGATATAAAAAAGAAATATTGTGGGGATCTAGGACTGTCGTCAGGATTTCGGCAGCCTTGTAACTCACATATCTTGTAGGACCCCCATCTGCTGCCTTCTCAAGATGTGCCCCATACACTTTCCATTGATCCCCGCGAGAGGCCAGAAACCATACCAAAGGCTCAAAACGTTCTTCTCCTGAAGACCAATCCACGCAGGAACGCAAATCTTCTTGAAGCTTCAAAAGTGCGTAAATCGGGAACGCTGACTGCACTTGGATGGCATCAAATCCACTGGAACTCGTTTCGGATTTTGCTTCTAAGAGCAAAAAGGGGAAGAGTAGAGGATCAGCTTGACTTTTGAAGGGCGTAGATTTAAGAATATCTGAGACAGTATCGTCTCGCTGCTTGGCAAGATCTGGTCGAACGGGACTCATTAACAAAGTATCCAAATTCCTGGTGTTCTGCAGGCCCAGGACGCGATCTGGACCTTGTTTGGGGAGCTGTGATCTGAGAAGCTCGTCATATACAACAAACTCCTGGGCTCGGTCATCGAAGAGGCGATTCGTTCCAATTTCGTAGCTGTAATGTCAGAATACTTCCAGGGATAAGCTAAGAAGGCCTAACTCACTAGTCTTTAATTCGTTCGCCGGGAGGACATTGACAAGGCTTTCGCCGTTTTCTGCGTTGCTCAAGTTCTCGTTCATGCTCGATTTTATTATTACTCAATGTAGCCTGTATCTCAGACTGCCAGATTCTCGCCCTGCATCTCGGACTACCAAGGATTAGCAGAGGACTTCATTCCTGGCCGTCCGAATTCTTCTCACTGCCCTAACCCTCTTAGCCCATAAACCCTAATATAACAGTACTCACCAAGCAACTTCAGCTAAGAATCTCCCTAGGATATGATTCTCTAGCCCAAAGCGCCAGCCCGCTTCGTTGCGCTCCTGACCAAATAAACGCTCAGCGCGCTGGCAAAGCCACTCGGCACGGGCTTTGATCTGCTGCTTCCAGGGTTCTTTGGAAGACCAAATATTCACACCAGCCGAATAGACATCAAACTGATAACTCCCTAGTTTCTTGATGTTATTGAATGTGTCCGCATGAAGTTCAGGCACCCCCTCGTCGAGTCGCAGAAACCGAATATTGTATCGCTTCATCAAACGCCGTAGCGTTCGCAGGTGGTCTTCTGCCATTATGCGAGGCCGGTGAGTTGGAAAAACCTTAGAGAGGTCACTAGCAGTAGTGTATTTGGAGGAATATATACACTGCTGCCACTGGGTCCGAGCCCCTTTTCCAGTGGCTTAGCCCAGCAGGATAGGAGAGTGAGGTATCGCGTGATGTGGGTAAACATTCCCCCCTTGTCTATTGTGCATTCATTTTAGTCGCACGACTAGCTCGATTTGCTCGCTTTAGTAAAGAAGCGAGTCGTAAGAGCGTGGCACCCCACCCAATTATCTGCTACTGTCGTTGGTACCTAGTTGGGTCGATAACCACCGCCGAACCGCAGCACTTGCATCCTTATTGTTTTCCTCTATTTTGCTTCATTGATTCTGTGCTTTCCGCCTTGTTTTCACCCCTCTCTTGAAGCGGACCTGTAACGCCTGGACCTGAATAGTTTCCACTCAGTAGCTCTGTCCATATTATTACTCAAAGATAAAAATGCCTCTTGTAGCAGAAGATATAGCACAGACTCTGACTAGAGTCTCTTCGTTGGAACGGCATCTTGTGCACCTCTACTAGTATAGGTGACTGTAAAGTTCTTAACCATACAGCGTTTGGTCAAAGCGCCAAAGAAGATCAACAAGGAGTTCAGAACACAAGCCACATGAAACTAATCAACTACAAACGCGAGAGTGTCAAAGCTAAGCTTAGTCTCTTTCAAAAATAGCAGCGGATGTCATCGCGCAATCTGAGCCACCGCCATCAGATTTCTTGTTTAGTAAGCAGATGCCTACAACTGACCAGCCATTCCAATCGAGCGGCCACTAAACCTTTTTTGGACGCGGCCAATGTTAGAGGCAAATTTCCAACCCCTGAAATATAATTCTATTGCTAAAGCTAGGTATTCTTGCGCTGCGGACATTGCAATCGCCTATAGCCTATAATATGACAGTCACTGCAGCGTGGGGCCATCCGCTAAGGGCATTATTCTATATCTAATGGCTGGATAGCTTTATCTATCTGATTCCTCTGTTAAATAAACTCCTAGCCTTCCTGAATAGAGAATCCCTCTATGCTTTCGATTTGCCTCCTATATTGCTTCTTATTTTGAAGCTGCTTTTCATGTGCGGTGTGCAGATCATGGTTTTCCTTTACAAGAAGGATAGCATTATTCATTACCATCTCGCATATGCCTGCTTTTGCTTCCTACACTTAGGCTAGACTGTTGCCGCGTTACCTCGCCTGGACTTGCCCAGTCAAGGCAGCATCTAAAACCGACGATTATGAGCAAACAACCGCCTTATGGACGGGGAATCTGACCCACTCGCAAACAATAGTAAGATAAGAAAACTCTTCCAGTCCTTGAATCCTGCGCGGACGGCATCAGCAAACAGGAATTTTGGTTTCAAAGTGCATCAACTTACTTTGTAATTATATTTAATGCCATAGGCACCTCCTTAAGGACAGGTTCTGCTCTACCTCATTCTGGGACATACTAGGCGGATTTGAGGTCAATACCTGACGTCTAGGATGAAGTCTCATGATCCCTAGTGAGATGTAGATCAAGTAGACTACTCTGAGAGCAGAAGTAAATAGGTAGCTTTTGAGTCTATACTAGGGTTTTCTAATCCATAATGCTAAAAAATAATAGAGGGCCAAGTTTGATTTATCTCCATTATGATTGGTTCTCCATAACCTACTAGCCTTATGGCCACGCTCCTTTGGCCTAGAGGAGACAAGCAACGCGTGGTCACATGTGGAATACCACGATGTGGACGCCGGAAGTCATCATGCCCCCAGACAGTCGCGGAGAAGGGTGGGTTGGAGGTGAGATGCGAAGGGCTGGGTGGTTGAACTAGCCCGAGTGTGAAGGGTGGTCTTGTTATAACCCTAGGGTGAGGTGAGATAGAGTTTTACATAGTATATAGGAGGTTGATCACATTCTGTTGATGCACATTGTATATTTCAAGTCGTTCAGAGTCCACCTAGATTCCTATTAACTCTAAATCACCAAGCAGAGGTGTGTAACAGACATTCTCTCAGCTAAAAATTAAAGAGGCAATATTTCTAGGCTGTGCGGAATCTATATGAGGATTCCTTCCGAGTCTTGAGCAAGAGCTACTGAAATGACACAACTAAAGACCAACATATTCATCCATAAAGAGTCAGGAGGGTCGTACGAGGATATTGACATGATTCGGCGTCGAGGCAGTTGGAAGGACATGAGCAAGGAAATGAGACGGAAAGCGTTGGCTAGCAAAATTGCGCCATGCCTCGGAGCCGGAGGCGGGCTTCAATTGTGAACATGTAGGTGTTATGTACCTTATTTGTATCTAATAAAGTCATCCTCAATTTGGGAGTAGCATGTGCGGACATACGTGTTCCAGAACACGATCAAGCAACATATCAGGGGTCCGAGAAAACACCATCACAACCTTGGCTATCTCCTCGGACAGAAACTGCGCTTGTGTCTGTGTCAAGACGCTGCTGTTGGAACAGACCTGGATCTCCAGTCGATCTGAATGGGGTTCCGAGAAGACCCATACCTCCTTCAACGGATCAAAGTTCGCGAAGAGCGAGTACTTGACGTCCGTGATGCCTTCCAGCGGCAACTTCTGTTCAAGTTGGATGTTCTGATGTTGGACAATGAATCTTAGTTCGGACTCCGCTGGCCACTCCGTGCATTCCTGAACGATCTCTGGGAGTGGTATGTAATCATAAGGAAGGGACAGGGTGTGTTGTTGGTATACATGAGCAAGAAGGTCCTTCACTGTCCATGCCAGCCGCAGGGTTACTCGTATTGGAATGAAGTTTAAACAAGGTCCCAGAATGATGTCCACGTTATCGAGGGTCATATTTCGCCCGTTGACTGTTTGTCCAAATACGATATCCATCCGGACCAGGAGGCGAGCAAGATAGAAAGCAGCCGCGGCCTTGATCAGGGTGGCCATGGTAAAACCGGCAGGAAGCGAGGGCAGTTGGATGCTGGTGGCCGCCATCACCGTCGTGGTGAGTTGGTCGGTGCTGCGGGTGTGTACCAGTGGGAAAGGGGTGACAAGAGATGAGCCGCGAAGATATTCTCTCCAAAACTGATGTGGAGCAGTCCTGTCTAGCGTTGCGCACCGGTGAAGATACAGAGTGAAGTCGGATGTTGGTGGCAAAGGCATATTATTATAGGCGGCGGCCAGGTCCTGGAAGAGATATGGGATTGAGACCCCATCCCACTGGGCATGGGACAGCTGGAGGGCAAAGACATGGTCGACGGGCGAGCTTGAGAACAAGGTCCAAGTCACAGCAAGCCCATCTCGGATGTCAAACTTTGCCATCTCGACCTCCCATTGCGATCGACATTGGGCCAGCGGGTCCATCTCCGCCCAGCGGTGATGGAAGGGGCCCGGACGTTGTCTAGGACCCCCTGAACAAGGGAACCTTCGTGCTCCCAGAAGGCGGTGCGCAAAATGCTATACCGTGCCATCATGGTGTCACACGCTTGACGCAGTCGATCAACGTTGATACGGCCTTTAAGGGCAAAGTGGTAAGAATGGAATGTCTTTCGGTCTATGAAAACCTGCTGAGTCGGCGTTACAGGCAGTACATCGACCAATACCGCGTGTGACAGATTTGAGCACCGCCTTTGATGCTTTTTAAAAGATTCTCTAGGGTTCTGAATCCTACCTGCTAAAGAGAATGGGTGATAAGGCTGCTCATCTGCGGATGAGAATGAAACCGCGACGCTCGCAAGGTCCGCAAGTACCGGATGAGCGAAAATATCAGCGACACTTACCACAAACCCGGTAGCTCGACTTATCGCCGCCAACTTCATGGCGTCAATGGAGTCTCCGCCGATATGGAAGAAATTATCATTGACGCCCAGCATGCCCGGACCCAGACCAAGCACCTCGGCACAAAGCTGCAGCAGCACTTTCTCGGGCCCAGCCAAGCCATCCTGATTTGACGAGGAGGAAACAGCCGGACGATACTGCTCTAGCTCCTTAGGTGACATAGCTTCCAGCCGCGTTCGGAGGGAGTTGCGGTCGACCTTCCCAGATGCCGTCCGCGGGATCTCAACAAGAGGCAAAATGATGGATGGCACCATCGAGGACGGAAGAGCCTGCCGGAGGGCAATCGTAGCGGCTGCTGCACTGGTGCAAAAGTCATCGGACGGCTTCTGCAAAAGGCAGTTTCCTCTCTCCTTTTTGTCTTTTGGCCGCTGGGCATTGACAACCAAAGCCACCAGCTGAGCCCTCCTCGAGGTACTACCCGCCATGGCTGCAAGCTCAACCACTGCGTCCAGCGCCCCCTCGAAGCACTGGCGGACCTGAGCTTCCACGTGGGCGAGTTCGATGCGCTGCCCTCGTATCTTGACCTGTTTGTCCTTCCGACCGAGGTACTGGAAGGAGCCGTCCCCGTTGAACCGGACGAGGTCGCCAGTCATGTAAAGCCTACTTGAATGAGACGCACGCAGGGGCTGGAGCCACTTCGGAGGGGTAATGAATGCTTCGGCCGTCTTACGGGGGTTATTGAGGTATCCGCGCCCCACAAGCGGGCCTTCGATAAGTAGCTCTCCAATAGCTCCCATTGGAAGCAGCAGGTCATGATTGTCGGGGTCGACTACCCAGCAGACACAGCCCTGCGCGACTCCAATGTCATGTGGGTTACTGTCTACGCTCATTCCGGACTGTATGACGGATACCACGGAGCATTCGGCGGGACCATAGCCGTTGACCAAGCGGACTGAGCCAGCCCAATACTCCACATCAGCTTGAGTCATGCTTTCCCCCACAAGGGTGAGCGTTTTCAGGCCGGTCACTTCCTCGCGGCGAAGTCGACGCGCGAGCGACGGTACCATGATGGCATAATTGACTTGCAGGTCGCGGATGGCGCCAACTAGGTCATTCAAGCGCTGTGTTTCTGACGGAATGCAGACACAAGCGCCGACCATGAGAGTACTGATATGCTCCTGTACACTAGGATCGAAGGCATAAGAGGAGAATTGTAAGATTCGCGTCCAGGGTTCAATATTGTACCCGGGGAGGTGATATTTGGCTCCGGAGACATACTGCCGATGTTCAATGACGATCCCCTTTGGCTCACCAGTCGACCCTGATGTAAATACGACGTATACTGCATTATGTGGCCCAACGCGACTGGCGGAAATGGCCATCCTGTCATCATCCTTGGGGATAGTGTCGCCAGATACCACGAAAATGCTCGGAGATAGCTGGCAACAGGCATCGACGTACATGGGAGAGCACAAGATAAGACGGCAGCGGACCTCATCACAGATCTTTTTCAAGTACTGGTGGGGATGCGATGGGTCCAGAAGAATGAAAGCACCCCCGGCCTTCATCACCGCCAAAATGGCAACCGGCGTCCAACTAGATCTTTCAAAGTAGAGCGGCACAATCACCTCTGGGCCCACCCCTCTTCTTTGTAAAGCTGGGACCAGGCGAGAAGAAAGTGTGTCCAGCTGTCGGTACGTGAAACAACGATCCCAGGCATGAACGGCCACCTTGTCGGGGTGCTCTCGGCATCGCTGATGGATAACCTCATGGACACAGCTCTCGATTCCCGTAGGTATATCGCAATTTATTTTCCACATAGCCTCCCAGTCGTGATCGCTCAAAATGTCAATGGCCCCTAGGCGAGCATCCGGGTTTGTGATGATTCCAGAGATTGCCTTCTCAACGGCACCGATCACACTCGCCGCCTGATCCTTCGCCATCAAACCTGTTCTGTATGTCAAATAAATCTCCGCATCGTCTGCTCCTATTTCGAAGGATAGGTCGGCGTCATACTACCACTTCTGTCAGTGCATGATAATCACCATATACTGGCACAATTTGACCAACCTCATCGCTACCTTGTATCGAGGCCTTGGAAAACAGTAAAGTCTGGCTGTCCTGGACTGGCAGTGTGGCCTGCCGGGAATTGATAGCGACAGACGTATTGAACAGGGCGGTGTTCCCCACAAGTCGATGGATACTTGACAGCGGAAAGCACTGATGCGGAAGCGCCTCGAGATAATCTCGTTGTAGTCTCTGCAGTGCGTCTTTGACCGAGAGGTTGCCATGGAATTTGACCAAACAGGGCAGCATGTTAAGGACTGGCCCTACAAGATTCTCAATGCCCGCGATGGGAAGTCTCTTGCGGATTTGGCGTAGCCGAAGCAGACCTGATCCGAATTGGTATAGGCTCGCATTACCAAGGCCCATGCCAAACAGAGGACATGCCAAAGAGTTATATTGTTCGTCCGACAGAATTCCCGGAGAGCAAAAACGCGGTTGAAGACCAGGACACTGGAGCCTCGCTCGTCACTGGCCTGCTTCGTGATGCTGTTGATCCGTGGAAAGTGGCAAGGCTCTGCATCGGCCAGGTATGATCCCCAGTACTCCATCGCAGGGCCTGTATCCTGCTGCTGCAGGTAGGCAACGTAGTCCCGGTACCGCGGCGCCTGCCCTCTGGGTAGGTTGTCGTCGTATGCGAGCCCCAGATCTTGTTGAATAATTCCTATTGTGACACTATCCATAATTGCGTGGTTGATCCTCAAACAACACACCATCTCATTGTCCTTCTTTCCATTTCCCAAGGCCAGTTTATGGCAGAGTTCCAGATTCCTGCTCATCAATTCCTCGTGTTCGTCTATTAGCGATTTGATCGAACTAGTCCCGGCCTGCTTCCGGTAGATTATCACTGGCGACGGGTCCTTGAGCACCAGCTGGTCCATGTATGATTCTTGCGATAAGCTGGGGATAAAGATTGTGCGGAGGATTGGATGGCGTGCAACTACCCTTTGCCACGCGCTCTTGAAGCGATCCAGCTCTATTGAAGCAGCATCTCGAGTTTCAATTCGCCAGGTCACATCGACCTCGTAGTTGCTGTGCCCTTTCGTACGGGCGACCAGAATACCGCGCTGGCTGGGTGAACAGGGATATATATCGTCAATGGCGTTCACTGAGATCGTCCGCTGCGGCAGAACCTGGTGAATCATTTTGTCCAATTGGTCATATGTCAACCGGAGCAGGGGAAAATCCGAGAGCGTGTATTTCCTCTCGAGGCCAATCAATACCTCACTTATCTGGGATAACGCTCGCTGATACCTCTTGATCCAGGCCTGGATGTCTTCCTGGGACTTCATGTACCTGTTGTAAGTGATCCGCACGTGTATGTAACCGCGCACTACTGAGACGGCTATATCAAATAGTGCTATTCTCGTGATGCTGTCGCCCGCAACAAGTGCCCCTAAATTGTAAAGATCATCTGACTGGAACATAGCATCGGAGCGCTCAAGCTGCTCAAAAGCTCCTACGTATTGAAACGTGATCTCCACCGGGTGGGAGCATCTGAGGTCCGTTTGACCTAGCGGATGAAGAAGGTGAGACGCAAAGTAAGCCCGCCCGTTGACCGTCAGCGCTGCACGAGCATCCTTGACCCGACGAACGATGTCCAAAAGGGCTTCCGCCTTCTCAGCCACTTCATCCGTACCCAGTACCAGCGGAGCAAGGGACGAGAAGCAGCCGACCGTTTGGGACATATCGACCTGAGGATCCCCTGAGACCCTCGCATCAATTTCGTTGAACACCTGCGGCAGGGGGCGACCCGGGAAGGCCGAGCCCCAAGAGTACAGCAACGCGGCAAGCAGGAGATCGGGCGGTTGGGTATTAAACGCGACGTTCGCAGGCCCAAGCAGGCGCTTTGTGCTGTGGGGATCAAGCTTGAATGTCTGGCAAACCGTGTGCTTGAATATATTCAGTTGTTCTGAGATCCCCCAGGATTCGGCGGCGTCATGGTTGTAGCTACTTGCCATTTCTAATGGGGGTGTGACGCTGGGCGGAACATGCTCAGAAAGACGGTCACTGAGGAGACGCATCTGCCTTAGGTTCCACTCCCGCAATGGAAGAGTGTGGCTGCTACCTGGTATCAAGCCGAGCCGGAGAGCAGACTCAAGGTCTCCCAGGAGGATACGACAGGATACGGAGTCAACAACCAAATGGTGCGCCACCAAGCACAGACGCTGACTGCCGTCCTCCGTTACGTTGATCAGGTCCACACACAGTAGGGGCCCATGCTGGATGTTGATGCGACGAGCGCTCCGCCACACTACTTCCTGTAATGAAGCCCTCGCTGTCAGGGTATGTGTATCACATCGGAACGAGGATTCGATGGTGCTGGTGATCGACTGTTGCCAGACCCCGTTCAGTTGACGGGCAAACCGAACGCGGAGCATAGGATGCTTGCGTACTAGGGCTAGCACGGCAGCTTCCAGCGAAGCGAACTTGATCGGCTCAGTTACCCGCACCAGGAACCGTCGGCAGTAGTGGTCCCAATCGTTCCGTTGGGTTTCGAAGAACATTTGCTGCATTGGGGAGAGGGCGAAAAGCCTGTCGTCGTCGTCGTCGTCGTCGTCGTCGCCGTCACCCTCCAGTCGCTCCATCGAACGGCAATGCTGAGCAATCTCTGAAAGATTATTGTACCGAACGATCTGTTCAACTGACATTATAATGCCTTCGTTTCGGGCTTGAGAGACGACGTGCATGGCTGTAATCGAGTCTCCGCCCAGCTCGTAGAAACTGTCATCGGCCCCGACGCTATCGAGCGAACGATTCAGAACATGCGCCCAGATTCTCTGCAGGTCACACTCCATCTGTGTCTGAGGTTTTCGTTTCTCGCGAACATGTCTGCAGGACGTCACCAGCTGATCCCACGAGTGTTGAGACGCCAGGTCTCGAAGTCGCCTGCGGTCCGTCTTGCCTGCGGCGTTTAGAGGCAGTTCTCGCATGGGGACATACACGTCTGGGACCATGAAGTCTGGGAGGACTTGCTGCAATCTGTTCCGTGTCGCAGCTACCATTGCTTGAAACTCCGGAGTAGGCTCGGCCAGGAGCTCACCATCCGCCGCGTCCTGGGGACTCGGGGAAGTCAAAAGAAAAGCAACAAGGTATGAGCGGCTAGAAGACTTGAACATCTCCACTACCGCATCAATCAACCCTGGAAAGCATTGGCGCAGTTGGCTCTCAACTTCGCCTAGTTCTAGGCGCTGGCCGCGCAGCTTCACTTGGGTATCTTTACGCCCCAGAAAAAGCAGGGACCCGTCTGACGCATATTGAGCCAGGTCGCCCGTCTTGTAGAGTCGCGACGAAGACTCCTCAACACGGTCGAAGTTCGCCAGCCACGAGGGAGATTGAATGAATGCTGCAGAGGTGCGCTCGGGATCGTTCAGATAACCACGGCCAACAATCGGTCCTTCGATCAGTACCTCTCCGACTGCTCCAACCGGGACGAGCCGTTGGTGATCATTTGGGTCCACCAGCCAGCACCGTCCGCCCCGAGGAATTCCAATATTGTGAGGGTCAGACTCACAGTTAACTGTGTCTTGTACGGTTGTGATGGCTGAGCATTCAGCAGGCCCATACCCGTTCATCAGCTTCCATGGCTTTGCTGCCCATTGACGGACGTCTGATTTGGTCATGGGCTCTCCGACACTGATCAAAGTCCCGGTGAATGTCGTCTTCTCGCTTTGCGTCTGCGCAATAATTAATCTGGCCAGAGATGGGGTCAGATAAGTGTGGGTTGGGTGAATCCCCGCCGCCGTTTCGGCCAGCGCATTCTGTCGTTGTTCTTCTGAGAGAATGCACACGCATCCTCCGGCGATCAATGTACTCAAAGTCTCCAGCACGCTTGCGTCAAAAGCGTATGAAGCCACCTGCAGGACTCGCGATCGATTGTTGATCTGGAAACACACGTTATGGGCCAGTGCAGCGGTGCAGTAGGACCTATGCTCCACCACGACCCCTTTCGGAACGCCTGTTGTGCCCGAAGTGAAAACGACATACAGGGCACAGTTGGGCTGAGCCCTACCGTCGGCGAACTTTCCAACACTGGTACGTGCTACACTGCCATTATGTTTCTGGTCCAGAACCCTGATATTGGGTACCAATTCAGCAGCGATGCTTTGCTTCTCCGCGGAGGCCAGAGCGAGGGTGCAACCAGCGCGCTGACAGAGCGTTTTTAAACGCTGCACTGGTTGCGATGGATCCAGTAAGATGAAAGCACCCCCCGCTTTCATTACTCCTAGCATGGCCACGGTCGTCCAGAAGGTCTTCTCGAAGCAGAGGGGAACGAAAACATTGGGGCCAACGCCGTCTGCGATCAATTCTGTAGCTAGTCGGTTGGAAAGAGCGTTTAGTTGTGCATATGTGAGACTGCCATCCCACGCATGAATCGCTGGTGAATCGGGCGCGTTGACCACATGTCTCTGAATCAGATCGTGAACACACGCGGCTTCAGAAGGCGGTACAGAGCCATTCCATTGGCGCAACTGCACCATATCTAGAGGGCTCAGTCGTGAAATTGCATCGACTAGCTGATCGGGGCATGCAAGAATATACTGCAGCAAATGCTCGAAGTGAGCGAGAATGTGCTTCATCTGAAAAGCGGAGACCACCTCAGTATCGAAATCCACAGACACTCTGATTTCTTGCGTTTCCGCAAGCTGACACATGACATTCAGCGCGTACGAAGAGAATCCATGCGGGATTGCTGGGCCCGCGGAGCACATAGTGAGGATTGTTTCGCCATCGTCCTGCATGTTCTCCGGCCATGCCGGTTGAACGGTAAAATGGCTTCGGAAGGAACACGCATGCATGCAGTCGCGGCTATAGTGCCGGATGTATTGTAGCCCAGTTTGCTCAAATGGGATCATTCCGATGGTTTGATTTTGAATCCGCTGCAGTACGTCCAGATTGGTGTCTTTCTCATAGAGCTGCACCCTGACAGGAACAGTGGCAATTGCTGGGCCAGTCATCTCTTCGACGCCGCTGAGCGGCGCAGCTCGGCCGGTCACTGTGACACCAAAGACTAAATCTTTTGAACTGGTGTAACGGGCGAGGACTAAGGCCCAGGTCAATCGGAGGATGCTTGACAACGTGTAGCCTCTGGGAATTGCGTCTCGATATTGAATCAACTGCTCCATGGTTTGGGCGGGGTTGGGAACATAGCTCTCTGACGGTAGCGAAGGAAATTGGTCACCCTCCAGGCCGGCAAGTTCTGATGTCCAGTATTCTTTGGCTCTGTCATTGGTGCACGTACAAAGATACCTAACGAAAGGGCTGAATGGAGTGAGCGCTAGTTCTTTACCTTTGTATGCATCTTCCACCTGCCTGTGGATGAGCAGAGAGGACCACCGATCACACACGGCGTGGTGCATGTTCAGTATAAGGTGCAGGGAACCATCGACACGTTTTTCAAGAGTGCTGTTCACGAGTGCGTCCCCAGTGACATCTGAATGGCCTTACTGTCCGTTGGAAGTAGTCGCGATGGTTCCGGCCGAAGCACGACCTGAAACATCCGGCCTTGATCCCCACGTATGATGCGCGTGCGCAGAATGGGATTCGCAGCCACTGCCATCTCCCATGCCGAGCGTAATCGGTCAGGGTCGGTAGAAGGGGAGGCCCGGTAGACAAATCGCGCAACATAAGCACCGGGTCTCCGCGCGGCTAGTGCCATCATGCCCTCCTGAAGAGGTGTGCATGGGTATATGTCCTCAATCCTTTCCGGCTTTACTCGACATCTTTCGGCCGCCAGGGTGGTGAGGGTGTCTAGCATACCAGCGTTAAGAAGAGAAAAGGGCGGTGGCGTTATTTCGGCTTGGAGACACTCGTTCAAGTCCTCCATTTGAGTGGCCATCTCGACCAACGAAGAGGATCTGAGAATGTGCTGAACCGATAGCTGAAGGTTTTGATGCCTCGCAAGCCCGACTAGCTTCATTGCGAGAACTGAGTCGCCCCCAAGAGCGCAGAAGCCATGTTGCATCCCCACAATCTCGGCCGATAGGCCGAGAACCTGTGTCACAAGCTTGTGAATTAGACGCTCTGACCTGGTTGAGGGTAATTGACGGTCATCCGTGGTCAGACCGAGGAGTCTGTCCCATTCTGTCGGCCGTAACTGCTCGACGACCGCGCGGAGTTTGTTGCGATCTATTTTCCCGGTGATAGTCAAAGGCATCTTATCAAGTGAGACGAAGATCTGCGGCACCATGTAGTCCGGCAGCTCTGCTTCCAGCCGATTGATCACCACGTCCGCATGCATCTTTTTATCAAGTGGGCTCAACAAGGACTCATCCCCCGTATTAGAGCCGGGGGCGAATGTCTTAAGATTTGCCGACGGGATGAACGCAACGAGAACCCTGTTCCCGTCACCATTCACAGGGACCACTCCCTCCACTATCGAATTGCGGTATTCCGGATAGGCATGATCAATCTGCGATTCAATCTCGCCCAGTTCCACACGTTGTCCACGGATCTTGACTTGTCTGTCCTTTCTCCCGAGGAACCTCAAGGTCCCGCCCGAGTCATAACGTACCAAATCTCCTGTCCTGTAGAAGCGCCGATCTTTTGATTCTTTCGAGACTGGCAGCCATGGGGGATTCTCTATAAATCGGGTATTTGTTTTGGCGTCATCGTTGAGGTAGCCCAATGCCAGGCTCGGACCTTCTACCACCAGCTCTGCCGCCGCCCCGATGGCAGCAAGGCTGTCAGAATCTTCGGGGTCAACTAGCCAAGAATTGGCGTTGACGGGCTTTCCAATGAGGCCGGTATCCACAGTGGATTCTATTCTTGGAGAAACACAACAGATTCCGGCCCATTCAGTGAAACCGTATCCTTGATACAAGTTCACGGCTTCCATCCATTGCAGGATTTGGCTCTGCTTGAGTGGCTCTCCGGCCACTATAATGGTCTTGAGACTTGGTACCTCTTTAGGATGCAGAGTACCAAGTGTAGTGGGAGTCAATATCGTCCAGTTGATCCGCATGGTCCTGATAATCTTTGCTAAATGGTTGATACGATCTGAAGCAGAGGGAATGCACACGGTCCCGCCACTCGCCAAAGTACACCAGACTTCGATTAGAGATACTCCAAAGCTAAAAGATGCGAATTGGAGCACACGGCTGCTTGGTGACAGATGCAAACCAGCGCTGTGGCTCGTAATACTGGCCAGAGCCGTATGATCCACCACACAACCTTTTGGTTCACCGGTACTTCCCGAGGTAAATAGACAATAAGCGGCCCCGTGAGCCTCAGCCGTAATCAATATGTCGGGTTCATGATGTGGGGGAGCGGGTTGCGATACCTGTGTCTCATCTGACACCTCAAGTACAGAGGGTATAGCTTCTCCCAATGTATCGCGATGGTCCGCAGAAGCGAGCCCTAGGGGAGACGTCAGCTGTCGAGCGATGTTTTGAAGGCGATTTCTGGGTTGGGAAGGATCCAAAGGAACAAAGGCAGCCCCGGTTTTGTTGATGGCAAGCATTGCTACCACAGCCCACAGGGACTTTTCAAAGCACACGGGCACCAGATGGCCAGGGCAAATTCCCCGCCCTACCAACTGTGCGGCGAGGCGGCCGGCGGCTTCATCGAGTTCATTGTAAGTTAAGCTCCCGTCCCACGCTTCTATAGCCGGCTGGTTTGGTTTGAAAAAGGAGTGTTTGCGGATAATTTGATGAAGGAAAGGCACCGTTGGTTGCGTGAACTTTCGGCCATTCCACTCAGTAATCCGTGCCATCTGTGCTTGGCTGACTAGCGAAATATGGCCTGGGGCAATTTCACTGTCCTGCAGGATCACAGAAACGACCTGTGTGAAAGTGGTGGAAACATGTTCGGCCTGCTCTGGTGCAACCATCGGCATTTTGTATGCAACATAAACTTGAGGCTGTTGCCTGTCCGGCGCGCATCGCAGGATCAGAACGATACTGCAGGTCTTCCAGAACGCTTAGGTGCTTACTCCATGATGGGTGGGATAAAGACATACCTCTTCCCCAGATTCCAATTCTTTAGAGGTGTCGATCTGCTTTATATCCCCCTCACAGATGATCATGCCGCTGTTGAAAGCATGGAGCGTCTCGGGATTGGGAGCGGACATGGCCCAACGTCCCGGGTCAAAAAGCTCCCGCACACTCACGACATTTGCCATGGATGTTGACATGAGCATCATTTGTAATTTGCAACCCATCTTGGCTGAAGCCTCTTCAGTATGGGTTAGCCTTTGCTGGCCAATCTGGACTTGGTCAACCTCCGCATACCGCCGGAGGATCACCGCCCATGCAGTGGCCAGGAGAAGGGACAGCTGAACATTTGCCTTCTGGCAAAACTGAACACTTTCCCTTACGAGAGCAGGTGATATCTGTTCACTCGCCCATTCCGCCCGTTGCCCTTTTGTGGCTCTCACAGTCGGAAACAGACAGTCGGCATTCGAGAGTGTCTGATCCCACGAGTGCGCCATGGTTTGATATAGAGTAGCGTTGATCGCTGGGATGGTTCGAGGTATATCTAGGATAAGTAGGTAGGCAATATAAGCTTGAAGAGTAAATCAACTGCGACTATACAGTTCGATGTAGCTTTTATACATCTCAGAGCGGTGGACGTAGTGATCAGTGGTGTAACGTTGATCCCAGCCACTGTACAAGCAATGAGCCGGCTAGATGGCAATGGTGAGAGAAGATTGCACCGGACATCCTTAACGGATTCCTCAGGTAGCAGTAAGGGATCGGGTATGCTGCAATGGCACATATACAGATATACTTTTGTCTGACTGGCCCTTTCTCATACTCTTTTGTAGATCGATATCACACGGGAAAGGCTTACGATATCTATGTTGCATTCTTAAAAGGTTGAGTATATTGCAAGGAACCTTGGAGGGAGGCACACGTTAGATAGGGGGCAAATCCGGCTACTGAATCACTTCAATTATCATACGGTTCAACCGGATTATCCTTTTCTTAAGCCTGTCTAGAAATACACTATTTTGCACGCTGACGTGCATTGAAATCCTGCTGATCACATCTGTGCTTATGTACTCATAGCCTCCCAGCCGGGCTTCATTGCCGTGGCAGGCTGGGTCAATTCCGCACTCAGGGAGCGACCTTGAGTAGGACGCAACATTGCCATGGCGACAGCGAACGGAAATGGCAAGTCAATATTAGCCCTTTCAGTTTTATATAGCTGGAATATGCCTCTATATCTTACCTGACTCATATGAACGCGACGGTGGTCCCCCCTTCCCCCCTCCACCGGGGCTCCCCCCAGCCGGTCTGGGGATGGTGTGCGAAGAATGAGTAATCTGCGGAGATTGCATGAAAGCAGTAGATATTGGTATCCAGTACATACGCGTATGTAGTCTTACTCTCACTAGAATGAGTGATACTTGTGCGCCGTCTAAGGTGGCTATACAGTACCCATCATCATAGTAATAAAACGTTCTCCAATAATTGGTAGAACGGTTCTACGTAATACTCACATAGTGAGAACTAGGAGTTGCCTTATCTGTCTCGCTATAACTGCCCCGTCAGCTGAGCCCCCAGATATGCTTGGAGAAAAATGTATGATAGTTGGGTGTATACAGATAGAACAAGCATTACCTAACATGGCAAAGGTTCGGAAGATGAAGAGGGAAAATCTTGTCATCAGTTTGACTCCAGCAAAACTAAAAATACCGGCTCATCAATGCTTTTACACACGTGAGTACATAGCAAGGGATCGTTGTACATACAGAGTCAGTCCTACAAGTTTCCATACCCAGTCATGTCTCCCGCATAACGCGTTTTTCGACCCTGTATTGTTCTCAAGCTATGGAACAATACAAGCGCGCCTCTTAGAAAAAGATTCGAACAGGAGGGGTGGAGATGAGCTAAGTCCTTATTGCCGTGGAATTATTCAAGATTTGAGCCTTTGAAGGCAAGGATATCATCAAATTAGCAAGTCCCTTCAGATTCCACGATCTGCGGCCCAGCATACCATCCAGAAGGACCCCTTCACCAGCAGGCTGCCTCCCTTGCTCGCTGCGGGCCGAGCAGAAAGGATGGAACGCCCCTTAGAAGCCCCTGACTGACTTCCTTGTTTATACTGTGGACAAACGCATACAGCGTGCCCATGCTTGTCTTCTATTCTAGGTCAAGCATAGCGTGGCTTTCATCGTGGTAAAGATGGAACTTTTGCAATTAGCGTTCTCGTGCGCAATGGAATCGTAGGAGGGTAGGCTAGCAACTCTTCGCCTCAAGCATGGTTTCTTTGGTCTAACAAGGAATCTAACACCAGTCAAAGAGGGGTACGCATGGCAGCCACCTGTTCGGACGATACTACGCCTTCACTAACTGGTTGGCTGGTGTTGGTTTGAAACCCGGAGGTGTTCATCTTGATGGTTGTAAAGTCATAAAGTCCTCGTTGATGCGATCGATGTCAGAGAGGAAACACATCTGCTAACCAACCGCGATCTCTCGCAGTTCCCGGTTGGACAAAATCGGCTCCTAGGTTGCCATCATCCAAGGTATAAACTGAGCATGAGACTCACACCAACTCGTGCGCAATGGGTGGAAGCCTTTGGAAGCACAGCAGCGGTGGAACAAAGGCACGGCCTGAGAGCACCAGGACGTCTGGGAGATTCGGGAGCCATACGCGGCGCCCCATTGGCGGGGCTCCTAAAAACCCTAATCGCAGACACAATTGAACGAGCCCGAACCCCATGACAACTCGCAGGTGAATGGACACCCACATAGCATACACAGATGGAAGCAGCTTCGAGGCGCACGTAGCGCGGCAGCAGTCACACTGTGGACCAGAAGACAGGATGGTTGGTCAATGCAGTCAAACTCCGGAGCGTGCCTCAGAGCCTTGTCCCAACTCGTCTCGGAAAAAGATGAATGGGAATTCCAGGGTGATGATAATAATAATATACCGTCCATGAAAATGGCCAAGGGTGACGATGATCACTATAGAGTTTTATAATGACGGTCACCTGTTGAGATGCGACATGTTCGAAACACGCGCCTAGCTTTACTAAGAGATAAACCTGAGGCGTTGGTGCTCATCGATTCGGGGTATAGAAGCGACAAGCGCTGCAGTATGGTATGTTCCAGGAACATGAGATTCGACACTGATAGAAACCGTTGGATGGGACTTCTCAACTCCAGATTGACGCGTATAACAGGGGAATGGCACGCCAGGTCAAACGAAAGCACATTGATAAATCTATTCAACCAGATCCATCGCATCAGCGTAGCGGCCCTCCGTCTACCCACTGCCTTGCCACATATATTGAAGTTATTGTCGGTGCGGTCTGGATTGACTTGGGAAGGAACTTTGAAATTGTTGTGGGTGCAATGAAAAGATTGAACATCTACCCTAACCACCCATAGAGTATTGCATTACTATTATATCTCAGTTGCCAACTCATGACGCATGCAGGCGAAGTTAAATGTCCAACCCAGCAAAATGTTACCCTGGCTGCCGCGGATGCAGTACAGGCAGTAGTCTCAATATATCAGCTACTGGTGGCCTGCGTTGGAGGTGATCTCATCAGACTAAAAGGCAGCAGATCTGCTTTCCTGTTCATTACCGCATGCAGACAACAACCAGTTTCTGGCTCTACTCTGAGCAAAGGAAACCATGGTCGCTTTAGAATATGTCATGAGGAGCACTCTTGATACAACAAGCTTCTATATCTTAATATTTAAGATGCTAGTTTTACTGTATAAGTCTAGCATATTAAGAGTCATGCTGGAGAGAAAAAAATAAGAAAGTAGAAGATTAAAAGCATATCATTATATTAGTTAAAAAGGTGAATATTACAACACCAGGGATTTGTGTAGTGTACCCCACGCAAGGCTTCCATTTGCTCCGCCCTCAAGTCAATAGGATAGTCATGACTGTGCTCATGAGCCCATGCTTACTGAAAATATTGCAGTGGCGGCCATTAGGGATACTATGGCGCAGGCTGAGTAGCTTAGTAGCCTAAGATAGCTCTAAAATGGACTAGCAGGAGCAGGCACTTCAGGAACTCTTTTACCTGCCATAGGTAGTGGTTTGCTGCCTTTTCCTACCAGAGACCTGGTACTGCTGGCTAATCTGGCATCTGCTACATATGTATACTCTTGATTCTTTTCATTTCTTAATATAGTCAAGGCTCTATTGCTAAGCATGGGAATTTGAGATATTATAACACATCTCTTAAGGACACTCATATAATCTTTCCTACTCACCATCCTTGCCTATTTTTTTAAACCCTTCTAGCCCATGTCACATAAAGCAGCCTTCATCTACCTAACATCCTCCATAGTACACCCTTTGACAGGATCATAACCATCATTAAGTAGGTCCTCTGGGTTATCTACGTCTTCAAGATCTTCCTGGTTGAGATCTTCAATAGACTTAGGGTTTCACCAACCGTACAGCATATTCACGAATGCATCTTTATTAATGCAGTCATTAATAGGTGCCTGAAGAACACTTTGCAATGACTCTTCATCAACAAAAAGATAGAACCAATAACGCGCCGCTTCAACGTTTGAGTACTAAATCAGATCAGGTAAGCCGCCTAACTCTTCCTAAATAGTAGTCATTGCCCATTTCTGGAAATGCTCACGGATTGTCACCGTCTCGCACCTTCAAAAAGGGCTCAGTCCTCGAAGGCAGTAGTCTGAAGGCTATCAAGCATATCTAGAGCATTATAGTATTTAAGCATGTCAGAGATATGCCATTGGTACCGATCTAGAAATTCAGCCCAGTCAGAATCATTTTGATAGGTGCATCAATAAATAGGGGAGCCACAGGTGCGCAAGCCAGCTTCTTTTAGAGCTTTCTCAACGCGGTCAGCAAGATTATCATGAGATTCCTTGTCAGGGGTGCGCTTAGATGGATGCCGAGGTGGATCGCGTCTAGATAATCTTGCCAGCGCTACTAATGCTTTTTCATGGGTACTTGTTGATCGGTCTGATGAGGTCATTCTTTGAACCTGATATTTCTGCGCAAAGAGTCGGAGTGAGGAGTGTATGGTGTTTCTTGCAAGAGGAATTACACTCTGCAAAGTGGAGAAATTTGAGGTCCGGATCTGTGTTCTGAGGAGATTTGTAGTCGCGGACAACATAATTTGTGGGGGAAAAAGAGAAAAGAATAGAAGATAAAAAACATACAACAGCCGGGATTCGCTGGTGGTCACCCACCCAACTACTAACCGGCCGGCGTGTGGCTTAAGTACGGCTGAGCGGACGGGAAGCCCTGCTTTCCACACCCTATGGTCGTATGTGCTAGATATCAGTAGGAAACAATATATGTACGCTAAAGTAGATGTTGCTATACTGCCGCAATTTAAGTCTTAAGATACCCTCTCCAAATTAACATTATCGTAGCGCTTTACTAAAAGTAATCACTGTAGATGCAATTATACATATTTAGGCTCTAAAGTATTGGATAGAATCATTATACGCTTCTTAAAAAGCATCATAATATCGCTTATAGGACTATTATGACTGCTAGTTGTTGAGAATCTATCCGGATCCCTAATCAGGCTAGCGGTAAATACATTGAATTCAAACATTTGACGTGCCACTGTAGGATTTATTTTAGGCAACTCCTATGGTCAAACCACTCAATTGCCTTTTGTCCCGTCCAGCCAAACGCTACCGGGCCTTGGTCGATGATTCAAAGGCTGCTGTCAAGGTCCTACTGTCCAAGTTCTGCAAGCAAGGAACGTCGCTAATTGACTAATCTTCCCTAAAATCTTTATTACGGTTCATGGAGGCCGGCAGCACATTCCAGCGCGAATCCAAAACACCGGGCATACCACCCTTGTGACCAGTGACTCAGTTCCATACAATGCGGGGCTCCACTGACCAAGCTTCCATCAACACGGGAACTCCTCTTGAATGCCTTCACACAGGTCTCTATTTCTGTGTTATCAGCCACAAAGAAAGGATCATCCTCCACGAGAGAAAACATGACTGGCACTGTGATGTGGGCCGCCCATTTCTCTTTCCAAACTGGAAGCCATACAGCTGTGAACAGGCCTGTCTCTGCTATCGGGGCCTTTGAGTTGAGACGTCCACTCTGCTCCAGCACCTCTGCATCCACCGTTCCCGGCTTGAACATGATGGTGTCTTTAATGCTCGGAGGCAACAGTACATGGTCCTCGTCTACAGCCTGAAAACTAGGAGGGGTCATTCTCATGAATGAGGATTGCGTGTTGCCCATTCCACTAGCAATCAGACCGCCGAGGGGGTACAACGGCTCGTCGTCCCGTGCATGCAATGATGCGGCAATGATGCCTCCCATGACACCCAGGCTGTGACAGAGGAGGACAATCGAGTTGCATTTGTTTGGAGCGCCAAATTCGGCCCATAGTCTAGGAAGGATGTAGCGATGCAACCATACACCAGTCTCATGGTTGAAGTCGGAACCATCTGGTATCGGCAGTATAGAGGTAGTCCCGCCGTAGGAAGGACGGTCGATGGATATGAAGGGTACCCCAAGGGATGCTCGCCGAGGACGCAGAATATCTCGGTGTAGCGTCGAAATATTGGCTGTCATAGCATCCGCCGTGCAGGCCGACAATTAGGGGCACATGATTGGCACTTCGCGTCGATGGCGGAGGGATAGAATGTACACCCGCCACAACACCATCGTTCGAAAGTGTAAGTTGAAAGGGCTGCATTGGGGTTGAACAGGAACTGAAAAAGGAGAGCCAATGGAAATGGAAGACTTTAAAGGGTGGACATCATGAAGCCCAGCAGGGCATACATTATATAAGTTTAGAAAAGCCCATCCTGTACTATGCAGCACTCCGTGGGCTTGGAGATACCGGAGTTTTACGTGGTCTATCTCCATAGCGTTTACTAAGGGAGATTCGGGGATAACATAGTTCCCTGCCAACCGGAACACCCAGCCATGTGGAACACCCCAAACATCACACTCAAGACGATTTCTTATAACTTCTCTCAAAAACAAAGGATTTATTATATAGTCTTAGAGTATCCTAGTGTCTATCTATCATATCCCACAATACATTTCTGTTAGGTCAAGAAATATTTTGGGGCGTGTTAAAGTGGGTATATAATTCCATGTCGCTCGATCGCAGCGTAGTTTTGGCAATATAAGTAAATAACCATTTTCTGAACATATCAGCTATGCTATACTATTTTGAGTGCTATGAAATTAGACACTATTAAAAATCAAACTAGAATTACTCTTCATTGTTGATATATCATAATCTGAGAAATCACATTTAGTATGTGTTTTGGGGTGTTCCGGTCAGCAGGGAATTACATTAGCTAATATTAGTTACCTGCTAAATCAACATTTTTTTCATCCCACCTCGGATAAAAGTTCCAGGTCTGGCCAGAAAACAAGCCCAAAGTGGGGTATCGTGAGAGGTTAGATCTGATTTTATTGTGAGACCTCACCCAGTCGAAAGGGACAAGAAGAGTATAGTTTGGCTCTCGCTGCAGTCTTATACAGAACGCATTAGACCATAGTGTCAGATAGGGCCCGTCCGCGCTCCCTTGTAGGGAGGCAATGCTCTGTATTGCAGTGGATTCTATATACAGAGGGAAAGTGGGAGGGACAAATCGAGGCTTGACTGCGAGAGAGATGATGAGCTGTCACTAGAGGCAAGCAACTGACTCTTGTGAGGCAGTTAGAGGAGAGAAGAAGCCCTCCAGTGTAGATATCACATGAGGCGATGATGGGCACATGAGGCAACCCCAATAAAACTACTCCCATTACAGTAAAACCTCATTTTACAATGCTAAGATGGCTAGCAGCTAATGAGAATGAGTTCTGCACCACACCTCTGTAGGGTACCATGGCATCTTAAATATGATACATTAAGCTCCGGTGCAACCACACCCTGGAGATTTAAGACCTGCATAACATTGTGGCCACAATCTAAAAGAAGTATCTAGCCTCGTAACACTCAAGTGAATGCCCATGGAAATCTATGTCTGTCTATTCAGGTCACCGCGTTGGGTAATATAATGGTAACTAACAGGGGACATACAGCAGCTATTGTCATGACTACTCCACAGCTATTGATAGCTACATATTTATTAACACTTATACTCAGCCATCAGCACGCAGCATGAGATCACCCTAGAAGCCGGCCAATACCACAATGGATACTGTATGTTAGCCGCTTTTGGTGCTCTGGGCGAGCATCTGTCGAAACCAAATTTGGCAGATTTTACAATCTGGAAATCATCGCTCTCTGTTGTGAGTTTTACAGCCGGCTCATTCCCTCTAACATCGCCATTAATAGTTCTCCATTATCACAGTTATGTTCTAGAAATAGGCTTGTCTCTAGGAAAATCTATTCGCTACAACTAAACCTGAACATCGGCCAGATGCTCGCCGACAAGCAGGATGGGTTTGATGCTGGTGTAATTCTTGACATCATTTGCCATCTCCTCACCCGCGGCATCAGCGAGGGCTTTCGCCAGCTGTTCGGCACTTTCCAGCTCAACCACTGCATAAAAGATAAACGGGAGCGGCGACCCGTCAACGTTGGATAGAAACTTTGGGATAGTCCACCTCTTAAGGCCGTACTTGGTCCAATGTTTCTGCATCAGGGGCATGTGCACGTCCTTATAGTACTGGAGGTCATACGTAGCTCCGGCTTCATTGGGATACAGGACCGTTAATGTGGCGGACATTTTGTTGACTTCCTGTTGGTAAATTAGTAGGGTCGCTAGTTTTGGGGCCAAACATGAGGAGTGAATTGGCTGTTGATATATATGGGCTCAAGCTTACTTTCATTGAGCCTGGAGCTTTTGAGGGATAGAGTGTATGAATGAAAAGACAAGCGATGAAGTTATGTTTTGGGTTCTTGTCCCTCGTTAAACCATATAGGGCGAGCTCGTTACCAATTCACCGATTTTTCTCCGAACCAGGCCGGAATTTAAGGCCGTCGTTAACGCCGGATTTTCGAAGCTAATGCATGGTTCCGACTCGAAACCCTAATCGAATCTGCACGACTGGAAATGGACGATGGATGCTGTGCAGCGGCATTCGATCTGAACCAGTAGCGTTGGTTGTCACTGCAAGTAATCCTGATCTTATCCTTCTTATATCAAGAACTACTCTTGCTCGCTAGACCCTCATTTGGCATTCGGCGCCAGAATAGACCTGTTTTATCCATATTATAGACATCGTTTGGCTGAATTGGTCACAGGTAGCCCGAGTAGCTTCCATCTCGGTATATATCGAGATCGGGACCGGAGCAGATTCGCCGTAGGAGGTATGTTATCGGATCGAATGGCGCTGTTTGAACCGGGAAAGCCGCCCATCAGAGAAAAACGGCGGGTCGAGGGTCTTTACTCTGGGATTTTTCCTCAAATGTTTGACGGCTTTACTTTGAATCAATGGACTTGTTATAGGAAAGCCAGCTTCCTCGTGACGCTGCCGCCAGATATGTAGGGCCTCGTCTAATAGAGGCCACCGAGATGCTAAAGGGCGCTTGTTCTGGCCAGCAAAACCAGTATCAAGATACTTGTATTTAGATAGAAGGATCTTCGACACGGTCACACGGTTAATATGGCGTCCAAATTTAGATGAAAACCGCACAGTGTATGCTCTCAGAGTAAGTTTAGGGTGTGCCTCAGATACATAGATACGTAATGCTTTTTTCTGAGTGCCGGATATGCCTCTGTTGGGGCTGTTTTGGTATGGCAAGCTTGGCTGACATGGCGGCCGAGGTGGAAGCACGATACTCCAGCATTTTGATTGGTCATGATGATATAACTAAGCAAGAATTGAAGTATTTTGTGTGCCATACGAAAGTGTGCCAGTTAGGTCTTCTAAAATATGGGAATTCGTACAACTCCTAGTGATTAACTACCTCAGGTCGACGCATTATTCTAATGGCCAACCATAGCTTGCTGAGCAGGAGCATATCTGTTACCATGACGCTTAGCAGCGTCAATAATATTTCGCATTTCCCGCTTATCCTCCTCCGTCAACACAATAGCCCAGTTCTCCTCCAAGCGACTAGCTTTGGTAGTACCCGCAATAGGAATCAGTCCCTGAGAAGCAACCCAGGCAAGTGCGATTTGACTAATCTTGCAACCCTTGCGAGCAGCAATTTTCTGGATTTCTTTCACAATTGCTCGATTCTTGTAAAAGTTTTCGCCTTAGAATTTCGGAACCTTGCGGTGGAAGTCATCAGGTGCGAAGTCTTCGGGGGAGTTGAAATCAAAATTGTCAACAAGCCAGCCATGCCCCAATGGGCTATAGGCGACATAGGCTACACCAAGCTCTTTGGCCGTATCGATCAAGCCATCAGTCTCGTGCAGTGTCTCGAAGGCTGAGTACTCGGCTTGAACGGCATCGATCTTGACGACTGTTGGCGGCGTGTTAGTACATAGTTGCAAAATAAACAGAAGCGTGGCAGCCGAGCATTCTGAAAGCCCGATGTACTTCGTTCTGCCTGCCTTGCAGATCTCATTTAGTGCGGGAATTGACTCCGTGAGAGGAGTGTAAAAATTACCAACATGAACACGAACAAGGTTGCGATCAGACCTACTAGGATCAATCCGGTGGAGATAGTACAGGTCAGGAGTGAATCTGAGTCTCTCAATAGTGCCTTCAATACACTCCTTGATATGCGAAGCAGAGTTGGTGACCGAGCCATCACCTCCGATGCAGTTGAATCCGCATTTCGAAGCGACTGCCGGTGACGATGTTCAGCCAAAGGTATTCAACTTAAATAAAAGGCGCTCGAACTCACTGAATATCTTGTCACGAACGTTATGCTTTCTGATAAAGTCTCCCAGAAGCTTCTCATTTACTCCAGCTTGATAGACAACCTGCATCCTCAAGAGGTCAATTCTGCGGATGTGATCGGTCTTCAGTTATCATCTTTCAACATACAGCAGTGTCCCAAAATGCGCACCCAAGCTCAATTGCCTTCAGCAGGACCGGTTCGGCTTCCTCAAGGCTAAGGTTAGTATCTAAGCCGAAGCTCAGACCCATCGCACCAAAACCCAGCGAGGGAATTTTGATGTCTCCGAAAGGAAGTGTCCAACAGGAGGCCGTTGACAGAGGTGTAAACTTATTTCTTGCCAAACCGGTGCGATTGGGGGAAACTGAAACAAATTCTATTAAAGTTTCCTACGCCGACAAATTGACTCCCATTCAGCTTAGACGCTTATCAATGCTACACTTCATCTGGCGCATAGACTACAGAAAACAAGAAAGAATTTTTTCAAGCCTTAGGGTCATCAAGCAGCATTGAAAGCCATGCTTGAGAGGCAGCTTCTGCCCGCTAATCAGGCTATAGCCCGAAAGCGAGCTGACCAACCTCAAATGAAGACCGCTCGGATGACACAGTCCCTTGTCCGGATCAGAAGACAAGTTTACTCAGGAGCTTAATGGAGAGAAATATGAACCTACAGGAAGTGATCACCTGTTCTTATCAAAGGATCGATCTCATCTGCTTTTTAAATACATCAAAATCCTCACCAACTCGATCACAAAGTTCGCAGCATAAGAGAAGCCGGCAAGAAAAGGAAGCTTTCTAGTAGCACAATCTCTCATATTTATTATTTTGAAAAGGCTGCACGGATGGCAATGAATCTTCTTCTTCTTCGACAAGGTATAAAGGCTCTACGGGCTGAAAATGAGCGGAAATTGAAGAAGGTAAGGAAGAGTGCTTCTCTGGGATATGTCCTTTTCTTATCTGTACAGGAAGGTCGTGACCGCATTCAGCAGGTTGATGAGCAGGTTGATGAGCCTACACCCGTGCCTCATCAGCGCGCTTCACCACGCTGCAATGGCTGCTGGACGATTGGACATACAATACGAAAATTGGCCTAGCAAATAGCCATATACTCACATATTCATATATTATTAATGGGATTGATGATTAGATGGCTTCAAGGACCAAATGATTTCCGTGGCGAAGCGGCAGTTCGGTGGTATGATTTGATTTGTTTCTCAAGACTTTTTTCGCGACCATAGGCTGCTGCATGTGGCTGGGCAAGTAAGGTTTTAACTATCTGACAAATTATTCATGTCACCGGCAGACCTGGCCTATCTTTCCCCCAACGGTCAAGGCCAGTTGCGGGGTTCGGTGGTTGATTGGGTTACTGTACGAGTTAATTTGAACAGCAACACGCCCATACGTCACCGGACGCCACCTACGCGTGTCCTGTAACCACGAAAAGTCACGGGAGTGTACGCCTGCCACATTGGCCATAAGTCAGGGGTAGACGTGCTTGGGTCAGATTGCTCACATCCGTCCTCTTTTTGCTTCAAATAAAGACGAACTCGAGCTATTCGCCACTCGATTTTTCCCCCTTTTCACGCTGGCCGATCGAAGGAATTCTCGAGGATTAAGCCTTTATCCTACCCCAACGTCTATCTCCATTACATTAGAATCGATGGACGCGACCAATCACGCAACGGTTTCTACCTCGGAGAATTCGAAAAGCTCCATGAATGATTATCGCCGGGCTATGATATCCCACACCTGTAAGCAGGTGGCCGCAATAGCCATCTCGAGTCCGCAAATGCGGATCACGGCATCGTTTGCGGACGGCAAAGGCGGACTGCAATGGGACCGCCGATCGCCGGCCTTCTAACGTGGAACCCAACTGCAAAACAGACATGGTTCCTGAAGTTCATGCAGGTTAGCTTGGATTGACCCACCTCCAGTCATATGGAATCTTGTTACTGACGATTTGATTCGAGATCCCCCTGAATGGATTGGTGTTGAACTAAGGTACGCTAGTGCAGTTTCGGAATCACTAGCAATTTATATGGCAGATCGAAATCCAATGAAAGTCCGATTCTTCTAAACGAAAGACTATCTACTTCCTATATATCTTCGATAGGCGTAGGTTGAAGGTAATCGAATCGATTAAACGAAGGATTTCGAACATTCTGCCAAAGGTTGCAGTGCTGAGTAGAACACGTATGCTTCCAAATCTGGTAAAGGGTATAATAGTTCAATAATTGGGATCTTTTCTCCCAGTGGGATTTGGTATAAGCATATTGTTCTGTTTAGTTTACTAGGTTGGTCTAATTTTGGCTGACTAACAGATGCTTTATCGGTCTGCGTCCTCTCGTTTTCGATCTTTCCAGTTTCAAAGCTCCCTAAGGTCGGGATTGCCCAAGATTGTCTCATCAGTTTCGTCTATTTGGTTTGTCAATAATGGTCTTGTCTGCTACCCATATTATTCCCCCATCGGTAAGATACGTGAAGAGTTTCCTAGTGAATCTCATCGCACTTAGCTTGGAAACTCAGAGTTAGATACCAACACCCTTGAATAATGTCCTGAAACTTGGAAGGTACGAATAGTGATGCCATTACTCTTAGCTTAGATCGTTGCGTGAATGCTGGACTTGAAACGGTTCGGAGAGGGGTCCTTTCCAGTCCACTAAACACGGCCAGCAAATCAATGGATGGGCCCCCTCATCCCTTCGACGAACTGTAGTCGAATAGGTTTTCAAATTGATTAGACGCGGCAAGCACGTCTGAAAGGTGACTAAGTCTCTCCCTAGTCTCGAGTATTCGTTGTTGCTCGTCCTGTAGGAGATAGGGGTGCCATAAGAGTTCCAGCAATCTCTTCGATCCCTAGCGTACTCAGGAAGGAGTAGAGACACAATTGCAGAAGTAATCGTGATACTGAACAGCTAAGTAGGTCAGTGCTAGACTAGAAAGAACAATCTGTCATTCAGATCTAATGAGGATTCTCAGCTCTGATCTGATGTGGGAACCTCACTTCCTCCAGTCAGAATTGGAGGCCGAGGATGAGACGAGGATAGTGATAGATATGTTTAATAGCCAAAATAAAACACCATACTCCTCATCTGATATGTAACTAGTCAAAGGAATTTACATCTGTGGATAGATACTTGATGCAATCACTCTTGATAAAATCAGCTCATCTTTAGCCTTTTTTTTTTTTTTTTTTTTTTTTGAGCTTAATTCTAGCAGTTGGAAGGGGCCGATTGACTGGGTCATCCGTTTCCAGCCATATCTTATGACCTGACAAAATCCTGCTATTTACGTTGGAGTCAAAGAGACCAGCATTGTCATCACTGCCATCCAGGGACTCTGGAAGGGATGGTTAGAAGGACTGTGTCAGATCGAGAGACCGGACGTAGCCAGTGAAACTCGAGCTCAAGGCATTTCTTATCCTGGCGGAGAGCAACTGGCTTCAACGCGAAGAGGCATCTCACCCAGTATGCATGTGCATCAGGGGGTAGTGTGATTCGGTTGGCACAGTGCTCAATGTCTCCTCGTCCCGAGACGTCTCTTTTCCAATCTTCAATGACACGTTCCGGCCAGAGCATCGCCAGCACAGTCTAAAACCTACCGCATGTAGGGCCTGCGAGTGAACGAAGAGAGTGCGGATAGATATGAAAGCTTTCCACACCATCCTACTTGTTCTTATGTGAATCAGAGTAATCATAAATACCACGGATAATAATGCAACGGAAGTCTAACATCAAGGCTGCTGCCTCGACTGACAGTCAGAATTGTTGACAGCTACCACAGTCCCAAGGAATTCATCTTCCAAATCCGATATATATGGGTACTCTACTGGCCTTTCTCCCTTACCTCCTTCCTCAACAGGTCCAACGGGATTTAGAAAATTGGAAAACTTTGTCAAGGCTTTTATCAATGTCATTCAGACATTGCAAGTCACCATCAGCCATAGCGTTTTTCGCATCTTGTTCCCTTGTATCTAAAGCGGCCTGCTTAGCCTGTATTTCTTTCAGCTCTGCAAGATATCTTCCCTTGAGAAGATCTTTATTGCACTTCAGTTCTTTGATTGCCATATTCAGCTCTCTGCGAACCATGGAGACCCTCTCTAAATGGTAAGTATTACTCAAAGCTTCAAGAAAAAGTTATGTCGTTTTCAGAGTTTACTACTTGGGCAAGGAGAGCATGGGGTTGAAAATATATGTTGATCCGGAAAGTCTACGACAAGAGCAGAGGCTAGTTTTCTCGCCAGGGTCATACAGTGTTTATCCCAGTCTGGCCGCATAGTTGTAGCATCTGGAAAAAAATAGCTTAACCTAGATCTCAGTGAAGAGAGAGAGTACAACTATAATTCAAGTGTGTGTTACAACAAAGAAGGTCCTAGGGGACCAAAAACTAGGTCCCAGCTCGACCCAGCCCAACTTCTTTCACATGCTCAATAATAGGCAGAGTCAGTCAGCAGAAATCCAGTCCAGCTGATTTTCGGCTTAAGTACTTTTGCACAACACGCTGCCAATTTGCGTTGTCCTATTAGGCTATTCCTCCTGGCCCTTGTCTCGCGAAATCCAAAACCGAATTATGATTTGAACATGATTTAAGAAGGCACTCCGTCGTTTACCCGATGTCCTATATTCTAAGATCCCGATCGTTCATTCTGCTATTCTCGTATCTAGGAGGTCGCAATCTGAAGCTAAACTTTGCCGGCGATTGGGCAAGCTGGAGACAGAGAAGGAAAACTCGAGTGGATCTGCCGCGTACTCCTACGCAAGCTTGTTGTCAGCTGTTGGTCCGATTTGGCAGGAGACTATAACAAACGTTACAGCTTCTACAGGAATGGTTGGCCCTGTGTCGTCGTGGTCGAGACATTTTCCCACCCGCCAAAAGGCTACAAGTGCCAGGGCTGGAGAATTCGACACGAACGTCCCTTCACGATTATTCAACAAGGGGTCTTCTTTTACCCGTCGCTTCAGGAAGATGTTCCGTTTGCGGAATGGGCTGATCCCCTCTTTTAGAGCGTGGATTTCTTCCAAGGTGACCTTAGGCCCGTAGCCTGCACATCTCGTTCTTGCTTCACCCCTGGTCCACCAGTTGAGCGGCACTTGGTTAAATCCGGGGCATTCTATGAGGTCTATACTCCTCCAACAGATCTGAGGAACTGAGCGTGCCGAATTCCGATAGCACCATAAATAGCATCGTCAAAGACCCTGGCCCCTCAATGATCCTATAGGTTGACGGATACGAGATGAAGCCTTGGCTAAGACATCCTGACGTGGTGATGTGGTTTGAAACTGACATTTAAGGAGCCATGAGTCATCAATCATGGTTCTTATAGAAGTCACCATTCTCTCTGCAGAGACAAATGGTGATATTGACTGAATTCAGCCGAGCATCATTCCTAGCAGTGGGCCAGTAAATATACCTAGTCATCAAAACATGGGCACCATCACCGCGAGCCCCGTTGCTCCCGATCTTGAGCTGGAAGATTTTATAGACCTTGAGATCGACCAGCCTATTCCATCGGATGCTCTCGCTCGCGTTCTTAGCAAGCCACCGTTCCGGATTGTTGAAGGGGTGTTCAATATCCGCGATTTAGGTCATA